CAGTGTTAAAATTATATCATATTTGGACACTAAGATGCTATAAAAATAACCCATTTTTTTCTTTTGGAATCCTGCCTGGCCTCAAAAGTATCTTTTTGCAATGCATTAAACAAGCTCATTGTACATTTCGTGAAAGAGTATTTTCTTTCTCAGATTTAAATTTGGTTTTGTACTGAGGCCAGTAGGAGTAGTTGGGTAACCATAGCATGATTCTGTAATTTTTTTTTCCTTCTGACTCAAATTCCATAGTGTAACTCTGTCAGTGTTTGGTCAATACAAGACCAGGAATAAAGGCTATCAAGCCTGATAAGAGAGCTGATGCTGGAAAGTAAGAGAGAGTAATGAGATGAATTGACAGATTAACTGTTTGTTTTAGTGGTGGAGACTGCCTGTGTCCTGGTATCAGTGGTGTTCAGTCTTAATAGTTTCTTGCCCTCAATCCTCCAAGGATTGTTTATATGTTACCAGGGGGAATAATATGAAATACCTTTGATCATCTTGTGTCAGCAGGATGCTGTAGCTTTTATTGCCCTATAAAAATTGGCCAGTCCATGCACCCTTGTCTCTCCCATTCCAGCTTGCAGCAGTGTGTCTTGTTTGAGGCTTGCTTGGCAGGCCACTCAGGAGCAGGAATAGAGCACCCCAACCCTTTTGTCAAATAGAGCTTGCCAACATGAATCCTCTCTATGGACTGCCACCTTGACTGGGTGGAGAGGCATGCATGTAAGGATGACTCTAAAAGCAACACTGTTGGGTGTCTTGTACACCTGGTAGGGACACCCATAGTGGTAACATCAAAGGTGAGGTATCAGACTAAGAGTAGTCCAACATAACATAAAGGCCTCAATGGCAGGTGGATGCAGAAGGCATACTTCTCAATGACTGTGAAGTGGATGAAGGTTACAGTAGAAGAGTATCCCAGTAGTCTTGGATCTCCTTACCACTGGACAAAGATTTCTCCATGCAGTTGCCAACATGCAACAGCCTCCTCATGTAAAACAAGTCACACACAGGCTTCTCTCACTGGATCTAACCACCAGTACCCAAACCTCTACAACATCCTCCAGCAATGAATGAGTTGTAAGAGGGACAGACGGTGGTTGCTGGGAGTGCCTAGTCATGGATCCACCTGTAGGTGGTGGTCAGGTGTTGGTCCCTTCACCCTTGGAATGGGACAGGAGGGTGATTTAGCAGCTGTGATCATGACTGAGCTGTCCTGTTTAGGGTCTCCTCTGCTCACACTGCATAGGGAGGGTGCTAGAAAAGGTGCCCCAGACATAGGCTATCCCACCTTACCTTATTTGACTGGATAGCACTTCCAGGGGGATCACTCAAATTGTGGTTGAAACACAAAAATGTCCTTCGCATCCTGGAATGTATGAACCCTACCAGATGGCCTGAACAGCAACAGACCTAAAGGGAGAACAGCTATTGTCACCCAGGAACTCTTGCAATACAACATTGATATTGCTGCTCTCAACAAGACCAGATGTGTGCACGAAGGCCATGTAAGGGAGGAGGGGGTTGGCTATACATTCTTCTGGAAAGGGAAACCTGCACATGACAGGTGAATACACAGTGTTGATTTCACCATTGAGAACCATATTGTCAGCCAAATGATGGAATTCACTGTTGGCATTAACGAGCACATCATGACTCTCCACCTCCAACCAACCAACAATTTGTTTGCTACCGCCGTCAGTGCATATGTCCCAAGACTCGATGCCAAGAAAGAACAAACATAAAAGTTTTATGCTGACCTTGATGAAATCCTGACTATCATCCTGAAAGAGGGTAAGATCATCCCCCTTTGAGATTTCAATGCAACAGTTTGTCAGGACTTTAACATGTGGAGGGGCAACATATAGATGGAAGCAGTGCACAAGGCCAATTCCAATGTCATCTTCTTACTCAATAAATGCGCAGAGCATAACATTGTCATTACTAACACTATCTTCAGACACCGTGACAGGCACAAAAAAGCATGGTAACACCCCCACTTGAGACAATGGCACTTCCTCAACTATGTCATTGTAAGAGGGTGTGATCTAAAAGATATTCACATCATGCAAGTTATGAGAGGAGCCAATGACTGCTGGACCAATCATCACTTAGTAAGATCAATCATGGCCATCAGGGTTGCACTGAAACATCAAAAGTGGCCCAAATCAGTCTGAAGACAGTCCAACATCAAATGCCTCCAGACCCCCAGACACTGTGAAGCCCTCCAAACATATGTCAACAAGAAACTTGTCAATCTTAGGACTGAAAATGATAACACTTGTGTTGAGGAAGATTGGAAAACTCTAAAGCATACCATCCGTGGAGCTTGCACGGAATCGATTGGCTTTATCACCTGATGCCATCAGTACTGTTTTTATGAAAACAACACTGAGTTCAAAGCCCTTCTTGATCAGAAGAGAAAAGCTTTCCATGACTGGCAAAACCATCCTAAGTCCAGTCAGAAGCAGGAAACTTTTCAACACCTTAAAGCTGAAGCCCAGAGGAAGATTTGAGAAATCAAAAATAGGGTGGGAAAAGAAGGCAAAAGAAATCCACCAATTTGTTGACAGTCATGAAATGCAGAGCTTTTTCAGTGCAGTCAAACTCTGTAGATTCTGTATACAGGCCAAACTCTTGTAGATTCACCCCACTTAGATCTGAAGATGGTAGTACACTCTTAAAAGATGAGTCCATCAGAAACTGCTCTAAGAAGCACTACCAAAAGTTCCTAAACTAAGAATCAATGGTGACTGATGAAACCATCAAGTCCATGCTGCAGCATCCAGTAAAGGAAGTACTTGCCAGTCTACCAACCTCTAAAAAAAAAGTCCACTAGGGGTTGTCAATCGGGTGTATGCGTACCCTGGGGGTACTTGGACCGGTTCTAGGGGATATGTGTGGGCAGGCAGGGATGGAGCACCACCACCTCCTAGGAGCAGGGCCGGGGCAGGGTGATGACAGCAGCTCCCCTTTGCAGGGTGAAGAAGCTTGCACACGGCAGCTGCAACCACCACACTAACCCAGTGAGCTTCCCCATCCCACCCCGCTCCTGCTCCTGGGAGGTGGCTGTGCTCTGTCCTCCCACTTCCTGCTCTGTGTCTGGCTGTGCACAATCTCCCCCCCATCTGGCATTCAGCCACATGCTAAATGCCCCCTGCCTTGCTTGGCTGCACACTTCCTCCCCCCACTCGGTGTCCAGCCACCAGGGGTAGATAGATTAAAAAAGGTTGAAAACACCTGCGCTAAGCGATAAGACAGATGATGAACAATAGTGCATGTGGCCCTGATAGCATACCAGCTGAGGTCTTCAAAGTTGGTGGGGAAATCATGACAAACGAGCTTCACACAGTTTCTCAAAATCTGGAACACTGAGGAATTGCTGCTGACCTAAGGAATGTCAATACTGTCAATGTTTTTAAAAAGGGAGATGTATCTGTCTGTGGAAAGTACTGACAGTTTTGCCCTCCTTTCTATCCCTGGGAAGATTCTTGCTCATATTCTGCTGAACCAATTGCTCCCTCTTGCCGAGGAAATCCTTCCCAAGTCTCAGTGTGGCTTCAGACTTTTGAGAGCCACCATGGACGTGATTTTTGCAGCCTGACAGATCCAGGAAAAATGCCAGGAACAACACCAGAAACTATATATGGCCTTTATTGATTTGACCAAAGTCTTCGACTGTTAACTGTGAGGCTATATAGAAGATCATATTGAAATTTTGCTGGCCAGGGAAATGTATCACCATCCTAAGACTGCTTCATGAGCAGATGACTTTCTCCACCCTATTCAGTAGCTCCACTATGGAGCTCTTTGCCATTCAAAGTGTCATCAATTCTGTCTTCTAGGGCTGTGCAAAATTTCACCAGGCGTTTTGTTTCGATGCTGTTTCAACTTGTTTTGAGCTCAAAACAGCGGAATCAAAATGAAATGAAAACCTTCGAAACTGCCTCAGAACAAAATGAGGGCACCTGAAAGTTTCAAAATGTTTACAGTTTCAAAGCTGGGCTAGCTTGCAGGGAAACAAAGTGAGGAAAGGAAGGGGGAAGAGGGGGAAAGGACTGCTCTGATATTGACTGTGTAGCTGGCCAGTGACTGTCATCTTTCCCTGAGGTCCCTTCCAGTCCCAGTGCTCTGGGGGGGGGACAGAAAAACAGCTGTGTCTTAACACACATACATAGTCTCACATGTCACGAGTTTTGCTTGTCAGCAGCTTGAGGCGTAGATTCCCAGAAACCCCTGCACCTATCTCCTTGAAACTTGGCAAGCTGTGTGGCCTCAGCAGGGGCTACCATGCTTGCTGTTTTCATCCTACTGCGCCTTAACACACACAGTCACAAATGTCACGAGTTTTGCTGTCAGCAGCCTGAGGTGCAGTTTCCCATAAACCCCTGCATCTATAACTTGTAACTTGGTAGAATTTGTGGCCTTAGCAGGGGCTGCCATCCCTGCTGTTTTCATTCAAATCAGTCAAGAAATGACAAAGTTATAGGCAGTTTTGTGATTCCCCATTATAGCCTATGGGCAAAATGTCGGAACAGCATCAAAACAGCAAAACAGTTTTGATGAAATGAAACAGAACAGTGCTTTGAAACTAAATGAAACTCGAAACAAAACACTGTCCCGTCGAAATGGAAGTCAAAATGAAATGCTGCTGTTTCACACAGCCCTACTGTTTTCCATCTTTTTTGCGGTCATCATGATGCTCATCTGTGAGCAACAGGGACTACAGAGACCACCTGGAAAGCCTAGAACGCTATTACCAGCACTACCTCTGGAAGATCTTTGGCATAAAGAGGGAGGATTGTTGCACAAATGCCAGTATTCTCACTGACTACCACCACCAGTATGGAAGCAGTGATTACTCAACATCAGCTGTGGTAGACAGGGTACTGTGTACATATGCCTGCTGTACATTTACCAAAACAACTGCTACACTCCTAACTCAGCCAAGGATGGAGGAAACGCGGGGGCCAGAGGAAATGCTTCAAGGACACCCTCAAGGTGAACAGTAAGTGTGGCATTGACCCCTCAAATTGGGAAAAATACTAGCCCTGGACAGGGCTGTATGTCAGTGCCTTGTGAGAGAAGGCACATTTTACTTTGAGGAAAAACATTTCACCCTGGAGGCAGAAAAATGACAGAAATGGAAGGAAAAGAAACAAACCTGAGAAATCCGTGGTCCAACCCTCCCTTGAACCAACACCTATAGCAGTTGCCAGAGAGTCTGTGGCTCTAGGATTGGCTGCCTTAGCCATCAACAACTCAAAGCCCTTTACTTGACCTGTGGGAGTGATCATCCTCAACCATGAGGGATTGCCGCCACCACCACTGACCAACATGAATGACAACTTTGCTTTCATCTCTTCATTGGGTATTTACTTTTGAGTGCACTCAGATGTTATCCTGCTGAGCACCTTTCAAATTCTTGTGATAGACAGCTCGTAACACCTTATTACTGTCATGAACGCTGTATGCCCCTGGAGGCCCCTGGAGGCTGGAGGGGCAGTTTCCGCAGGCAGCCACAGCAGTGCTGCCAGTGGTGGGGGTGGAGGTGGCTTGCGGTAACCACCTGCATACGCCACCAGCAGCGTCGACAGCACTTTTTGCAGGGGGTGCATTATCAGGGGGTGCATATGCACCCGCGCGCACCCCCCACACATTGCCAATGCTGTCTGGAGCCCTAAATGATCTACAGTCAGCTGTTTTGGGAACTGCCTCATTCTCCCTATGCCCTGTGACATGGTATTTCTAGTTGGCTGGAATGCTGTTGCTGACCAACCCTGCAATTTAACTTTGGCAGAAGTGCTCTCCTCTTCTTTGGTAATCCCTTGCAGTCGAGTATGATTGTCTTCCATTATTGTCCTATCTGTGGGTTCAAAGATGGCTGAGATCAATCTAGGATTGACAGCCTCTGCTTCAAATTGGGCACCTGTTTCCATTTTTTATTTGGTGCACAGCATGCTGTTTCTGCTGCTTCCACTTCTACATCTCCTGTTGTCATCATAAGGTTTCAAAGTATTGAGATCCTTGCAGCAGACTTCCTACATTTGGGGCAGTCCTGGGTCATAGTCTTGCATGAGTTTATGTCAGTGTTGCATTTTTTTAAAGTTGGCTTTGAGGACGTCCTTGAAGTGCTTTCTCTGCCCTCTTGATCATACACTTTGACTGAGCTGGGAGAACAAGACTTGTTTTGGGAGTTTAGAGTCAGACATCGAGATGATGTGGCCAACCCAGTAAAGTTAATGTCAGATGAGTATTGCCTTGACCCTCATAGTTGCTTGCTTGCGAGAGGATGCCAATGTTGGTACATCTCTCTTCCTACTGGATCTTCCACAAGCAGAGTTGACAGTACTTCTGCAGTGAAGTGAGATGTCTCCTGTACATTGTCACAGCTGCTTGATAAACTATGAGCTTGGTTTCAGATCTGATGTCATGATGTTCAAACACCCATTTCCTGAGGCATCCAAAGGCTGGACTTCCCTATTTGAGGTGATGTTGGATTTCTTTGCTAAATGTTAAGCATCAGTCCCATTTTCTTGCCTTGGTAAAGATGTTGACGATTGCCTAAAGGCCTGCTTCCAAGTGAGCACAGACTATGGTGTCATCAGCATACTGGAGCTTGATGATTGAGGTTCATGTGCTCTTGGTCTTGGTCAGAGTCAGCTGAGGTTAAACAGTTTACCATTTATTTGGTAGTTTAGCTCTACTCTGACTGGAAGCATTTTGGTGGTCAGATTAACATCATGGTAAGGAATATTGAGAAGAGCACTGGAGCGATGACACAGCCTTGCTTAACTCCCATCTTAATCTCAAAGGGATCTGTGATGGATCTATTACTGAGAACCACTGCTCACATACCATCATGGGGCAGGCAAAGAAGGGTGATGAATTTCAGTGGGTATCAGCACTTCAGAAGGATCCCCAACAGCACTTCTCACTTCACAGTCAAAGGCTTTCATGAGGTCAAAGAAGGCCATGTAGATAGATTTATGTTGTTCCCAGCATTTTCCTGCAGCTGGTGAGCTGTGAAGACCATTTCAGTTGTGCCTCATGATGCCCTAAACCCAGACTGCGCTTCTGGGATGGGCAAGTGGAAGGAGAAAATACAGGAGGGTTCTCACAATGATCTTTTTTGGGGTGAACAGCAAGGTGACCCCTTTGTAATTTCCAGTCAGACTTGTCTCCTTTCTTGAAGATTGTCACAATCATGGCGCCAGTAGCGTTCCCCTAGAGGGCATTGGAAAAGTATATTTATCAGCCAGTCAAAACCTGAATGAAGACCTATAAGATGAATTACAAGAAGCATGTACTTAAATGGCTGCTCTTTCTGAACAAGGCTTATTTTCTGAATTAAATGAAGAGTTTGATTTATTAGACATGACTGTTTATTGACTAGCTTTAAATTTTTTTGTCATCTTGCCTACAACCTACTTTGTAGGTAAATTATTTTGTGTGTCATTAAAACATCACAAAACCAAGCTGTTTGATTTTTCATGTTCAGCGCTTCATCATTTACTGCTGAATGTGCACAATAGTTTATCTTCATTATGTAATTCAGCACCTTTGCCTTCTTAAATAAAAATAAGATGCATGTGTTTGTAAAACTGTCATGAGTAGGAGGGGGCGGAAGAGACGGTAACTGGCTGTTTTTACTACAGTAGAAAGTTTTCTGTATGTTAAACTTTAACTGGTAACTTATGTCCCAGGTCAATTGTATTAAAATGTGCTCTTTGACCTTTGATTTGTTGTATTGGTCATGAAGGGTTAATAAATAACTCATAAATATGACCTTTTAAAATCTGAACTCAATCTCTCTTATAGCAAAGGTTGCCTACATGGTGTGCTGTCTTGTGGATGCAGGACAGGGGAAGTCAGTCTCCAGATAAAAAGTCCAGTCCATGCTGTGTTACCATTATACAACCTCTAGCACAGTGTTTCTTAAACTTTTGATCCCTGGGGTACATATTTTTCTGAACTTCACTCATACCTGAAAAGGTGTGCGCACATATATGTATAATGACTTACACAGTGATGTCCAGCCTTTTGACCCGTTAGGCCAGATGAGTAGCGTGGCTTCTGCAGGCTGGGTCCAGTTTGTGGGCCCAATCCCACCAGACATGGTGGACACAGCTGGAGCCCAATCCTGCCATGCACAGTTTGGAAATCGGGCAGCAGGGAAACAATGTCAGCATTAATTGCCACCATTTCCCCATCACCAAATTTCTGGACTCTTGGGGAGCCCTGCAGGCCAGATGATGTGGCTTTGCAGGCCAAATCTGATATTAGCAATTTATCACTTTTTGTGGCACAGTAGAGTGTGGCGGTGCATCCTTTGGGAATCATTGCACTAGCAACTGCAGACAAAATTGAGTTACAGAAACAAAAAAAAGCAAAACAGTTGCAAGCTGCTGCTGCTGCTGTTTTAATCATGTGTAGTACGTGTCATGGCTCCTGAACATAGCCACCAGAGATGTGCGGAGGGTGAACAAAAATATTTGCAAACCTTGGTCTGTCTGATCCTTCGCTGTGTCTCCTTTTTTTCAGCTGGTACCCTCTGCATTCCCAAAGCATTCCCAACACTAGGGATAAGTAACTATTTCCAGTGGTCTGCTTAGTCATAGCCACAGACAGCTCTGCTTCTTCAGGATTTTCATCCGGGAGAAAAGGGAGGTGAAAGTTCCTTGTTCTCTTCAGCCCTGTCTCATTCCTTACTCCTCTCCTGTCTCCACAAGGATTTCTGCAAAAGAGTTGCATGTGCTCTTACTCAGTGCATAGGGCTCACAAAACATATTAGCTGCACTATGTCTGCTGCTCCAAAAAAAAAAGTATTTGAGGTCATGGCTCTAGGATTGCTAGGTATCGTAATCTTCTATAAGCTTCTTAATTTGTTAAACCTGTTGTCAACAGAAGTATAATCATTGAATTCTTTTAGTGAGCAGGACAACAAAAAATAGTGTGTGCGCTTTGTTGATAATATAAGCTACTTTTGTCTGCACATTTTCTGCAGGACTGTTTGGATGCCCTACAGGGCACCAAGCCAAAAACAATGCCCCCAGCAGGATGAAGAGAAAGCTCTGCAAAAGCTTCTATTGCAATACAGTCTCTGATGTGGCATAAACTGGGGTATTAGTGACAAATGACTAAGCTTTTAATTAGAAGCTGTTATTTTGCTTGGTAGTAAACTAACTACAGTTCATCAAAATAAATACAAATAAGGCCCCAAATGGGCTATAACTGAAATGCCTGCCCTGTCCAATTATCTAGGGGTAGCACCATAATAGAAAGGGTGAGCCAATCTTGTACTTCATATACTATACATAAGGAAAGAATCTATTCTATTGTCCCCAGACAATAGACGATTTAGAGTGGTTGGGTGCTAGTTGACCCTGAGTCAATGGACTGGATGTGCTTTTGAAAGCACGTGAACACACACACTGTACTATGCTTTGAAAGGATCTCATTTGTGTCCAGCCATGTAATAATTATTTCTAGCTGTGAACAAAGCCTACAAACTTGCCATGTCAGTTCACTGGGTTGTGTGAACTTATTGTCTTTTTTCACTCATCCTTTTATAATTCTTAAAGTTACAAACCCTTAGAACCCACAGCTGGGGATACTGGGTGTATTTGATTATTGGACTACCAAAAATGTTTTTAGAAGCTTCACATTAGGTACCTGGGTCTGAAAATTGTAGTCAGGGGTATATATTGATTCTGATCCTCTCCTTTCTTCAGTTCGTTTTCTGAAAGATGCCTTATAATCAGCACAGCATTCTAATTTTCTGTTCTCAAATATATGCTGTGTGGTTCTCAGAACATCAACCCTAGGAAACTGGTTGCATTGTCTCTCGCCAGTCATATTTTTATAATTAAATGAAAAAGAAGTTTTTAATACTGTGTGAACACTTCAAAGCCAGTTAAACTTCTTCATTCATCATTAGCTACATAGCTGATTCATTCCATGTGTAGCATCTGACAAAGTAGGTTGTTGCCTATGAAGGATAATGCCGTGTACACGAAGGTGCCATACTGCCTTATCTTCTGCCTAAATCATTCCAGAATCTCTCTTGCAAGTACAAGTTCCTACTTGACCTATTTTTCAGATGTAAAGCGCTGTTGATTGCTGGGGAAATGATGAACCAAGCGAATTGAATATAGCAAATGATGGAAATAAATATGAAGTATAAGTGTTTTGTTCTTATTAGAGATGAGCCTAAACTAAAACCTAGTATTTTGGGTTAATTCCAACCACATCTCTGGAGATTCCTGACTTCTAGAGAACATCTCAAATGAATGTGAAGTCTTCAAGTGAGGCCCACTTCTGATTTTTAAGGTTACTTTTCCACACATCAGTGCACATTTAGCTTAATTCTTTGATTATAAGGAAAACAGTTGTTCTTTTTCCAGTCTGACAATCAGGAGGCAATTGTTTCAAGTATAGACAAAAGAAGAATTGTTTAACCAAGGTTTTCAACTATGCCTGAGTAGGAGGGTGGGCTGAGTACCAAATTGCCTTATTTAAGTCATAGAAAATATTACCAATTTTAGATTAATTGAAAGCAGCTCGTCTCCATTACTTACCAAGGAAGGGGAAGGAAAAGCTTGCATGCTACCTCTTCCATTAGTCAAATACTAGAATGCCAGGAAAGTACTTTTGTTGAAGAAACAGGTCTGAAATCTTGTATAAAGTAAAGCACATGCCATCCACTCCAGTAAATTAAGTCTTGGGAACCACTGTGGCAGTTTGTCTGATGAGGAGCTTGTTAGTGCCAATAGCAACATAAGCATAGAAAATTATTCCAAAATGTATTTAACATACTGATATTTGGGGGGATTTTTGTGTGATATATGGGGGGCACCAGCTGAACTTGTGAAATCTTAGGTCATTTAAAAAGAACTTTTATTTCAAGGTATTTCTTACCAGGGCATCTGAGTGCTTCACAATGACTGATGGGGCACATCCTCATGAGCTGGAACATGTATTTGCTTGGAGACAAGTAGCAGTGGCACATATTTGTGACACAGCTAGGTGTCCTCAGACATGCCCCTGCATGCTCACTCTGGCATGCAGCAAATTGCCCCAAGTAGGATAGGGGAGGCTAGGGTCTGCACCTGGACTGGCCTCAGCAGCCTTACCTGTGGTCTTGGGGGCCTCCCAGGGCTGCTGCAGCAGTGATTTAGGTGCGCACGACTCTGACTGGCCAGGGTCCAGTTTTGGGTGGCTCATGCTGCACCGGATCTCCCTGCATCAAAAAAAACTGCCGTATTGCAAATTAGTAGTGTGGCAGATGTGTGGACATGCGGCACATGTGGTTTGCAGCACTGCAAACGGCACATGCATATTCATGGGGACACTCCCTTAGTCAAAAAGCCTGAGGCTGAATTGATTCAGTCTTTGCAAGTAAATCTCAGCTGCAAAGATTGAACAGATAAGCAAATAAACAGGCATTCACTTTTGATTCAGGAAATGCAGCCATATTCCTGCAGTGGCTCAAGCCTGAAACCAGGGGGCACTAGAGCACAACTCTCCAGCATGTAGCCAGCATGGGCTGTGTGTTTGCTTTTTCTTCCTGCTACCCTAAGGTCTCTGAGATTTGCAGTCCAGGCTCAGAAAAGTAGGACTCTGTAGGGTTGCTCATTACCCCCTCTTCCTGTTTCCAGGTATCTCTGGGATTTGTAGTCCACAGTCACAGTCAGCATTAAGTAGGTAGGGCAGGGCAGGGCAGCTCCATACTTGGGGGAAGGGAAATTTAACCCCCCCTCACTGGCCTAGGCCTCAGCAGCAGTTTACCTGGGAGGCCAGTGAGCCAGCCCTCACTGCACTAGCTAGGAAGCAGAGGGGTTGGGCCAGCCCTCTCCAGAGCAGACAGCACAGCCTAGCTCAGAGCTGGAAAGCATGCTGGGGGACTCTGATTTAACTTGAACCAGGAAGGGGTTTGGGACTGAAGTTTCATAAACCAGTTTGACCTAAATCAGTTAAGTCTACATTCAACCAGGTTTATCCAAAAGCAGTTCAGCCATTTTGAAACTGGTTTATGTGCACTGAACTCCTGTTCTGTTACAAGTTTAAACCAGTTTCTGATCACTTAAATTGGTTTATATATAACTTCTGTCCCTAGCCTCAGTGTTATTCGCCATCTCTGCAAGACAAGCAGGAAAAAGGTTTTGATTTCATACATGGGCAGAGAGTTTAACATTTAACATGGACTTCTGGTCTGCTTCTGGGTCCACTGGGGAGCCCCCCCAGACCCTCCCAGCTCACTGACTGGTGCCTCCTGGGTCTGAGGGGGGGCACCTGGGGTCCCCCGCACGGCCGATTGCTGAGCTGGGAGATGCAGGGGGGCTGTCAGTGTGCTCTCCAGTGGACCCAGAAGAGGCCCCCACCCTGCACTCCTGTGGGATGCTTCATTTGCCCCCCCCATCATAGTATTCATGAGCCGTGCCTGGTACCTCGAGGCATGCAGAGAAAACAATTAAATCTGTGTCTATGGCCAAATCACTGATTCTCTGAATCAGCATTGAATCTTCAGATTCGGATTCAGCAAAATCGAATCGGGACAGTGATCCAAATCAACAAATCTAATCACTGCCCCCAATTTGGGCTGAATCCTAATATGAATTGAATATGGCCCATTTCGCACATCCTTATTGGGTGCCCACATGCAGTGCTGTAGCAAGCGGGGGGGCAGTGAGCAAGGCAACCGCCCCAGGCACTGAAGCGAAGGGGCACCAACAGGCACTGCCCAGCTGGGGCGGGGAGTGGGATGGAGCCGTGACTGGCTCATTTGTGGGTATGTGGGAATAGGGGGAGGGCGCCTCCCACTGCTGCGTGCACTCCTGGGCAAGCATGGAGAATGTGTGTGCCCCCTAGATCTGTGCACATGGCAAGGGGTAGCCTGCTGCTGTGGCCTTACCCTGGGTGCCAACCTTCCTTGCCACGGCACTGCTCACATAGTTTTGGCAGCTTTGAAAATCCTGCCTGAAGTTACTTGTTTCTTCTCGTGCAGAAGGTCTTTAACAAAGGAATCAAAATCAGACCTCTTGTGTTCCTGTAACTGAAAGATCATCCTTCCTCATTTATGTCCTGTAGAAATCTGTGTTAGGCTGTTTAGTGGGTCCCTCCATTGGTTTCAGCATGGGTTGAAGGTGTGTTATTCCAAAAACAAATATAATCAGAAAGTAAATAGTGAAAGTGCCAATTTGTAGTATTTCCCATTCTTCTCAATGAGTGATGCAGTAACAATAATCCCACTCTTGCATATTTTTGGTGCAATGTTATTAATAAATGGAATATTTTTGCAATACAGTAGTGTAGCAGCATTCTGGGTCATTTCTTCATTCATGGCATAGAGTGGTGCCATGTTGCTTACCAGATAAAATTATTATTGTATTAAATAGTGCAGTGCTTTAAAGTAATCGATCCTCTATATTGCTACAGCAGGTGGAAGTCCTAATCATGTATCAGGACTGCTTCTTCCTGAGTGGTGTACAAAAAACAGTGATTGATCAGCTGGATAAATAGGGGTCTTGACATACCAGCAGCATGACTGGCACAGTATACTTCAAATAATTCAAATTATACTTTTATAATACTGAATAATTTAGAAAAGTTGGCAGTGGATTAATATGAACTCTTGTTCAAACTGTAGTCGTAGAATGTATACTCACGAGCAGAGATCTTCAGTGTGATGAAACAGAAGACACTAGGAACTCCTGAAGTGTGGAATGGATAGGAAGCAAGATTAGAAGTGAATACTTCAGGCCAGCTGAAGTGACCATTTCCTAATGGCTGGTAGAATCTGGTGCTGCTCCATAAATTTCAGAATAGCTATACCAATTTATAGCAGCAGAAAATTTGGATTGGCAAAAGGATGTGGGCACCTGAAGTGGAATTTAGTTGGAATTCAGATGTCTAAGTCTGAGGGATACACTCAAAATCCCTGTCTGTTTCTATGCATGCCCAAAACTGCTCCCATCTTGGCAAAGCTGGGCAGCTCAGCACTTATCTCATGAGTAAGCCCAAAGCAGGCCTTCCTCTGCCTAAGAGTGCCTAATTCAGTAGGTGTGATAAGAGCACATATAACACATGCTGACAGCAGTAAGTTCTGCACAAAGTATAGCTGCCTTCTTTTACTCCATGGGCTAGTGGTTTGATCGCTTGCCCAGGATGTGGGTGATCTGGGTTCAGTGCAGGAGTTCAAAGCCCCCTTGCCTAATTACCCTCCCACCTGACTATAGGCTGGTCTGATTTATGGGCACTCTTCACCTTTTCTTTTGAAGCAGTACCACCCTGCAGGAAGGAATACAGGATTTGAGGTCCCAGAGGAAAGGAGCTCAACTGCAGCCAGGGTTTCAATTTTTTCTCCAACAACTGTTTGTGTTTAATATAAAAGAGACATTGGATAAATGACTTGCTCCTTCTCTCTGGACCAATTAATTTTAAGGGTTTGTTTTCTTCGAACAGTGCCACTGCTCTATTTTTAAAAAGGTTACTCGGAGGGTCGTTGGCAGTGAATTCTGATCTGACACAAGAATCTAAGCTTTTGAGAGGGTGGGATTTAAAAGATATCTTTCTCTTCACTTCCCTGTTGACTAGCTGGGGTGGATTCATGCTGCTGGGATTCTGGCTGCTCTAAAGCCCACTCTGAGGCACCTTCCTCTCCCCAGGCACTCTTAGGGGACCCAGGGGCCCGAGTCAGAGCGGTGTATTTAATTCTAGACGGTAGAGGTCAACAAGCCAGGTGTTGAGACACTCAGCATCACAGCACTTAAGCCTCTTGCTGGATATAGGCCTCAGGTAACGTGGCCTAGAAATACTATTTGTAGAAAACTGTGAGAATTAGACCACCCTTGACTTCTTTTGAAATGCACAGGAACTAAGGGAGCTTCTCACATAAACACTGCTGCAGTGCAACACTTAAAACATGCTTAAAATTTATGTGCAGGTCTAGCCCTTTATTACATCTGGGGGGAAAGTAAATGCATCCTTTTTCATTTCATTTTGCAAAAGAGAGTTTCCACTTCTTGAAATCAGATCGTTTTCCTTTCTCTTCAGTGCTGCTCCTCTCTTAAATTTGGGGGCTAGCTAAAACACAGCCATTGTGCAGCTGAGAGCTGATTCAGTTTGTTTGCATTGCTATGGAAGCGTAGATAATAATTAACAAAAGGATTTCAACTCTGTATAGCATCATGCCTTTTGTTTGAATTGGCAAAGCTCTTCATCAGGGGTGTTTACATGAACCCATCAACAGCTTGTCACTGTTCTTTGTACTAATTCTATACTCTTTCTGTTATATCAGTATTGAAATACTCCTTTTGTATGTGTAGAGAAAACCTAGTTCTGCCACCTTTAATCATATTGGCAGTACTCTAATGAGTACAATCAGTGAAATCAAGGACTGTTGTATACATGCTACAAAGTGTGAGTAAAGGAATTGGGATTAAAGGGAGAACATTTCAATTGCTCAGTAACTTTAGGCGTTGATCCCTTTGCTTTACTTCATGCATTCTGGATAAATCCTCACCCAGTTGAAGTGAATGACAGTTTTGCCATTGGTTTTGATAGGATAAGAAAATCACCTCCAGAAACAGTCAATGGCTATATTTACAATGCATACAGAAAAGCATTTACATACAACTTTGCATGACTGGCACTGATAATTTCATATCCTTTCACTATGAGAAAAAGCGGTAACAGGAGTATTCAGTATTTTTCAAATGTTTTATAACATTTTCAACCAAATATTTTGATTTATACACACCGAAATATAGCATGGATTCTGTATTTTGATTTCTTTCAGCTTCAGTGGGTCTATGAATATGGTATGTTTTCTTAGCAAATGCTGCATGTAAACCTGAATGGATTACTGTCCAAATGGGTTTGTAACAGAAATTGAGTAAGAGATGCCTTAAGAATAGTCTCTGCCCCCTGCCCCACTCCCCATTCTTGCCAATACTAGGGAATATTTTTGCTCTTTAGATTGTGACGAATATTAGGTACTGATTTCTAGCCCAATCTGTAAAGCTGGCAGTAGAAATTTACCCACTTTAACCTAGCAAGGAGATTCTTATTAAGCTCAATTTCCACATGAATGTTTAGCAGAAAAGTTTTCCCCAGATGTTCTTAAAAAGGACACAGTGGGTGCATCTACATGTTGCTATATGGACAAAAGGAAGTACTAAGCCATGGCGCACTGTGGGTGGTTACTGCACTGTGCATGTGGTACACGGGTAGATGTCACCGCTACATTGCCGTAACAGCGCACTGTACCCAGGGAGCATGCCACTACAGCAATGTAGCTGGCAATCACGTGTAGACACACGTGATCGCTATGTTGCCACAGCATGCTGCGCAGGGTGACACGTAGGTGACATGTAGATGCACCCAGTAATTTGTAAAGCAGGTATTTAAAAAGTGTGTGCATACAGGGCTATTTTTAAAAGACTCTTCAACTTGAAGTCAAGTCAGTTTCAAAGCTACAGATCAGTAGTTTCAAGTATTACATCTGTTCCTGAAATCGTCTGCCAATGTTTTGTGACTTTACAGTCATATTTCATTTTGATGTATTGATGCTTTGCTCTGTAAAGAATCCATAAAAACAGCATGGGGAAGTTGGCTGTCAGTGTATAGAAGAAACAATAAAGCTGACCATGTACAAGGAACAGTCCACTGCACAACGTATACGCAGTGAAGTAATAGATAAAAAATTGCTGACTTTTAATCCTTCATTTGTTGTAATCTCAGGTAGTGTTTGTAGTTGTACTTGTAGATATCATTTGTTAAATTCCTGTCCAACACCTGCTTATGCCATAAAAAGGGAACTATTTTTCCTGAATCATCATTGCTGGGTTCCTTTCAGGTTCTAAAAGGAGTAAGTCAGGGTCGTGTTCTAGCAAGCTGAACGCAGTGGGACCTGCTCCTTGCTGATGGATGAGCCACTGTGAAATAGGATAAGCTTGCTTTCAAAGTAGAAAAGATTTGTAAAAATTGAGAGGTGTGTATTTCTTCTGCTTTTCAAATGAAATTAAATCTCTGTGGCCACATGGTATATGACTATCGAACAATCACATAAACATCAGGGTCTTCATTCATAGTTAGGCCAGCTGAGAATCTGGCCATAATACCAAGCAGCATCCAGAGAGTGTTAGCATCAGTGCTGATTTTTAACTTATTCCTAAATTAAACATAAACAATTGCTGTGGGTGTAAGGTGGTTAACCGGATAATGATCCAAGGTTTACTTAGTTTTTTGGTGTTTATTTTAACTGTTTCATCTGGATGAAGACAACGGGTTAAATCCTAGCTTCTGGTTTACATGTTATGTGCCTCTCCAGCAGGCTAAATAAAAGGCAGAAAGACAGTTTTCCCATTCTACCTTTGGCATGAGAGAACCATAAATGGTACAGAGCCAATGAAAATGTGAAGGTGGGGCTGGAAAATTTGAGGAATAAGTTAATTGTGGCAGCCTTGCACTCCAGATATTTGGAGTAGCTCTGAAGACAGCCAGCCCTATTGATGGTCTTTTCAACCAGGGGCCTAAGGGAACAACCTCATGGGTTGCTTAATTGGACTGGGAGTCAAGCTTCTCCCCTGGCCAGCCCCATAATTGATAAGGTGCCGGGGCAGCATAAAGCAGAGGTGATCAACTCCTGCCTGTAGGCTAGATCCAGTCCACAGAGCCATGTCATCTGGCTTGCAGAGATCCTCACAGGTCTGGAAATGGTGGGGCGGTGGGGGGAGGGAGCAGTGGCAATTAACATCGCTGCCTCTTTCCCACTGCAAAATTTCCAAGCCCCATGCAGCTGCATCAGGTCCTGATCATGCCTGCCCCACATGGCTGGATCAGGTCCCAACTGGGTCATTTCTGTGCAGCTAAATAGGGCTTGGCTGAGCCAGCACTGTGTAATTCATCCCCTGGACTGACCTGGCATCTCTCATCTAACCCTCAAGGCAAAAGGGTTGGATGCCACTGGTGTAGAGCCACCTTTTGAATAGGGTGACCGCCTTTTCAAAATGCTAAAGCAGACACGAGGCAAGCAGCTGGGTATGGGTGTCATGTGGTGCAGCCCTGTTGCCTGCCCCAAGCCCACAGGGAGAGCGCATCCCCACCTCCGCTTGGTCACTGCTATCACCAGCCCCAGGGAATAGGTTGTTCACAGACCCTACACCACCCAGCCAAGCATGTACAGAATAACAGGGGTGGATGGGCAGCAAGAGCACTCCCCTGGCACCATGGGGGCAGGGGCAGGAGTTGGTGTCCTGCCTGCAAGGCATCCTCCTGGCTGCCGTTGCCACTGGTTCCAGGCTCAGCACTCATTCCCTCTGTCGCCATCCTCCCACTGAACAGGGGAATCCAGGACAAATGCTATCCTGGAGTCATTCAGCCCGGGACCGGGACTTGATGTTTCCATTTTGGGACTATCACATTCGATTTGGGATGGGTGGTCACCCTACTTTTGAAACGTGTTTGGTTTTTTTGCAAAATACCGCTAAATTCAAGGTTCTAGCTGCCTCACTTGGTTACTCCGACATGAGCCGTGCCTCAGCATCCTCCACTTCACGGTAGATACTGTCTTATCATGAAAGAGTCTCTCTTAGTTTATTGGTTCTTTATCTGGGACTGCTATTCTGTTTTTTTTTAACAAAACATAATAGATTATCTTGTTAGGCAGTCCAACATATGCCAATACGAGCAAAGAGAGCAAAGTGCATTGATTGTTTTTTTTCATCCATTGTATTCTTTCCTACCTGTGCCCCTTCCACCATCTTTTAGGTGACTGTGTTGCTCCATAGGAATGACCCTATGCAGACAATACCCTTCCCAACAGGATCACATACAGTCAGTTACTAGTGATCACATCAGACTTCTGTGATTAAGCAGAGCTCCTGTTGTTAGGGTGTGCCACATGCTCGTGGCTTTATGTACTCAATCTTTGCAGATAGGCAGCCTTTGATTATTTTTTTTTTACCGTTGTTTAGCATGAAGACAAATGCCCACTTTCAAGTCTCTCTGCTAGCAGTTCCCAATCTGTGGTACGCATATCACCAGTAGTATGCAATCAACCTGTCAGTGGTACGCATTAACAGATTTATTATAATGATTTTATATGACAAAAATTTGCTGGTGGTACTTAAGGTTGTATCGTTTTAAATTGGTGGTGCGTAGTCTGTCAGTTTGGGAACCGCTGCTCTCTGCTAATAGTTGCTAGAAGTACCACAAATACAGCCTGCTCTGGTCCTAGAGGATGTGTCCTGCATTGGCCTTGAATGTCTTTGGCTAATGTAGATGATATTTCAGGACTCTGAAGGCAGCTTCATCTCTCTTCACCTGAGAAAAAAAAAGAGAGCATGGAAGGGACAGAGCAAATCCACAGCCATTTCCTTCTGTTTTCCTTAAGGGAAGCAAGGCAGGTACCTTAATTTTTGGCACCATTTCTCTGGTGACTACGAGTGCATATTTGCAAGTTGAAATGAGGATTTATTTTCTGAACAAAAGCTGTGTTTAATGATGAGAGTTTTCCATTAGTGTATTGTAAAGAATGGGAGTACAGGCTTGAAATTACCCCACAGCAATTAAAACTTCAGCACCTCAGTCTTTGAGGATATGTTGAGTTGATGGCATGTGCAAAATTGAAGTTTTACATTGTCCCTCCAGGAAATATTAGCTGCTTTCTGTTTTTTTTGGAAAGCTAAGAAAACTACAACAGAAGCAGAGGGTCCTATTGCTCAGTCTGAGAGTTAAACTAAGGACATGTGAATATTGGGTTAGAACAAAAGGTTATAGCTTTACAGCAGTCAAGCCTGCCATTGAGAACTTTTTTTTTCACTTTCACTGTTGATTTGGATTTAGTGCAAGAAACTAGAAATGTGCAGGCCAAAAACATCAGTTTTCTCTTTCAGGGAGCTGTTGGGAGGTCCTGTACTCTAACAAGGAAGCTGCTTGAGGTCATGGAAAATAAGGGCACTGTAGCTATTACCGTTGCTTGTTTGTGATCATTCCCTGTGGTTTAGTATAAATGGACAGTGAGGGGAAGGAAGGAAAAGCACTATATTGAGCTTTCCAGGATAGATCTTGATCGTGTTTAGAACATGTGTGCCTGATGCTACGGTATACATTCCCAGCAGCAGATGAAGAGCTCGTCTGTGAGTGGCTTTTGTTTACTATCAAAAAGCTATGCAAGATGGCAGTCGGAGAATGTGAAGGGGGAGCTGGGGGAATGTGAAGGGGGATAATTATAGGCCTGGAACAGCTGCTCAAAAGTGTCCTGCAGGCAAACACTTGAGCTGCATTATAGTCTTTTTGATGCATCCTTTTGCTTGTAGCACTCTTGCTCTCAGCTGGTTTGTTTTTCATGTTCAAGCCTTATGAGCAATTAGGGTTTCACTTAATACTACTTGTGATATGCAGGAGAGAAGCATATCATGGAGAAAGCAGAAACTTCAGGTGGGGCTATTTCACAGATGAGAGAACACTTCTTAATTTAGACCCTGGGGTTTGATTGTCCTCTAATTTTTGATGGTGTAAACAAGTGACTCCATTTAATTAAGTTGAGAAAAATAGAAAGCAAAGATAATATAGAGATCAGACATATACAGCATTCTGCTTGTCCTCCCTGAACAGGAAAGCATTGTGGGGGATTTGGCAGGCAAGCAAGAGATCGTTAGTCATTTGTTCAGTATGTCCAGCAAACCAGGGAACCCGCACTTACTTCTCAGGTATGGACAAGCAAACAGAGTAAGACAAGAGTGGGGAGAGGGGTCTTACTCCACTGCAGCTGCACTGTGGTAACTGTGTGTCTGTGAGCAATTCTTCCCCACTAAGTGAAGTCTGAACCACAGTTGCTTTGCCCTCTTCTATTCATGGGGGGCTACCATTGCTTAGCTCCCACCTGCCTCAGGGTAAGAGCACAGTTTCCCAAATAGTCACTGAGATGCAGTAGAAGCCCCCCATACCTCACTGTAATTGGCAGCTTGCATGTTTGGGCCTCAGCCTGGCCGTCCTAGTTCAACAAACACTGTGCAATGTGTGTAAGATTAAAAGCCTTCATTTTCCTGGATGTTTAACTACTCAAATACATGGCTTGTATGTATATGGGACCCCCCCACACACACCATATAGTCTAATGCTTCTCTGCAATGCTCTTGTAAACTCATAACTCCAGAACCTCTTCTGCGTTAGTCAGCCCCATTCCCTACAAAAACTTTTATTGAAGGCAATGCAAGGACTCCTGACCTATCCTTTTTCTTCATATTGCTCTAAAGAGGCCACACAAATTGTCAGGTTAACAAAGAACATAGATTCCTTCAAGCAAGGAGAAAAATGTTCCTTCAGTCCAACCCACTATCTTTGGTCCTGGCTTTTTTCTTTCTGCCTGACCCTCTCTTCTCTCTCCCTCTCTCTCTCTCTCTCTCTCTCATACCTTTCCAACAACGAGCAGCAGCAGTAGCAATCTGCTTCTTTTCTCTTTAGGTTTGGATTGATGTGGATGGATAGGGTGAAGCTACATCTGTTCTGTGGTTAAACACAAGGCTTTGTTCTCCAGCACTGACAATCTGGCATCTAAATAGTTGGTCTGACAAAGTCCTGATGCTTAAAGCAACGTAACAAAAATATTTTTTTGCACCATAAGTATATTGGATCTGAATATCCTCTACTGAATTCATCGCACATTGTTGCCTAGGCTATGATACCCTATTTTCACTTTTTTTTCTTTTTTTTAGATTACTACCTCCTGATAGCTGATGAGCCCACCTCTCCTAAGAAGCCCAAGAATGTCTCTGAGCTTTCTGACTTTGAGACCATTTGCCCTTCCCTCTCCCCAGAATGGGCCTCTGTGAGAGTCATCCCAGAGGAAGAAATGACAGAACGCAATCTTATGGCCATCCGTGTCATGGTCACCAGTGATGGAAGCAGGTATTTGATGATATAGTAACCACAGCAAAAAAACAAGTTGTGCCATTCTCTGAGGAATGAGTTAACCGTAAAGTACAATGGGTTTTTCTCAGAGTGTGGTCTCAATATGTTGCTACTGCGGGGAAAGGGAAGGAAAAGAGATTAATTTAGTCTTTACTGGAGACTTTAACTTCTCCTAGACTTATGACTCTCTTTGCAGGAAATTGTCCAGTGTTCACATCCCACACACATGCCTGAGTCAGATGGAATAATATTGTCCCTGATCAAATCAAGTTACCTTTTCCATTTTCCAAAAACATCAGTACATGCATTAGAACAATGGGAGTATTGTGGCAAAAGGTGTATCACGTGCCATGCCTCTTATCAACCTTTCCCTGCCTTGCTTCTCTGTCTGGGCATACGATGGGCTTTCCAGCCTTATGTAACTGGAAATCTGATGATCCTTGGAGACTTTTGTAATCAAGCCTAAAATTTTACATAGAGAAGGCAGAGAATGAATTAGTCGTCTTGGATGAAGTTTTGACAGGAAGAATCCATTTATAGCTGCATGATTCGGGTTAAGGCAGTATTCTTCAATGGAAGCAATTATGTCTATTGATAGTTTTAAAAGATAACAAATATAAAATGTTTCTTTTGAGTAAAGAAGCTTTCTAAAATTAAAAAATATATTTGAACAATACTACTAATCTTTCAATAGTTTACTAAAACTGGATAATATGTTTAGAAAATGACATTTGTTTTTTCTTGTTTATGTCCTTTATTTATTGTTATATATCATCAGTAACACCTTCACATATGCCTTGATATATCAGTTGATGTACATTTTAGGGAAAGAGAGAAATCTATTCCAGGAGTCGTGTTATTACCCCAAGGGAAAGCATGGCTAAGTGTCTTCTAGCTGTTTGGTAGAACCCTTTGTAGAATGGAGACTTCTTGTGCAAGTGTGTATTTATGACCCACTGTAGTACAGCATGGTGCTTTATCCCTTGTAGCTGAGCCACATATAGCGATTTTAATCTGCTAACTCCTTTGATCTCATGGATCAGGTCCTTTCCCTCTGGCAACAGGGGCTCTCACTTTCAGATGTAGAAGTCTGTGGTTCAGTTCCAGCAGGCAACCCAGTGAAGGGTGGCGTTACATCTGTCATCACAATGTCTTGTGCCAGTTCTTCTGATGTCAGTCTCCTGGTATTACATTAAAGCTGTAATCACTTGCTTCACATGCCAGAGCAAGTACTGCAGTAGGCAAACAATCCCCTAAAAAGGGGGACAAGTAAAACAGAAAGTTACAAATGACACTGCAAGATCTAACAGTGCTTTCTGCTGACGGGGTTCTTAGTGGAAATGGGAAAATGATAGACTAGGTAAAATATTACTTGCACCACAATGGCAGTCACTTTAGTTCTAGCTTTAAATACATGTGAATAATGACCACCTGTGAGCAAAGATCAGAGGGCAAACCCCATATGATGGTACTTTGAGTCTTGCCAGCCAAGAATAATAAACACTTCAGTAGAAGAGAGTGTTCTTTAAAACAAAAATATTTCAATCAAAATTAGTGGCATTTCCATTTTCCGTTCTTTCCTATGGCATAGTGCCCAATCACAGTGTGATATCTCACTCTCCATTAATGATCTTGACTATCAAAGGCTTAAAAAAATTAAAAAATGGTTTTCATGCTTTGTTCATTTACTAGGTTCCAATGATTCCCAGAAATCAATCCAGGTTCCCTGGTGTAGTAAAAATCCACCAGTCACTTGTTTCCACTGTTTCAGTGTGAAAGTCATTATGAAGGGTGTGACGTTGGAAGTCATCTGCTGAAACTAGGGGTTTCACTTTAATGCTAGCACCCCCTTTTTGGAGGTAGCAGGAGTCCAGTGACTGTTGGAGTGATAGCTTGCAGAAGTTTGTGTTTAGTTTACTAAAAATATTAAGAAGCTACTGTATCTCAATAACATAGCACAAAAGAAAGATAAAGAGCAAGAACAGGCAGTGAGGAGGAAGACTGGTCTGCCCCAGTTCCATTTGCAGCAATGGTTGCAGTTGAAGAGCTTTGGAATTCGAAACAATTGATGTAAACTGAATACTTTTCCTCTTGTGTCTGGTAGGGCTGTACCTGAAGGCTAGTAGAATAGGAGATCATAACTAATAAATAATACAGTAGTAAATAGTAAACTACCTAGATCACCCTCCAACAAAGGCTGTTGTAAATGACTTCTGCAGAACCTCTTGCAAGGCATGCGCCTCTCTGGAACCTTAATCTTCTCAATAAAATGGCGATATAAGTAAGTATTACCAGCCCTGAAATATTGTCCCATTTGCAAGGGGATTAAGCCAAGTGGCTCATCAGAGTTGTAGCCAAGCAGTTCTGAGTGACAGTGCTATTTTTTCACATACCTGCAAGCCAGCACCTGGGATGTGCCCTAGTCACTCTCCCTTTAAGTTATGCTACTGCAATTAAGGATACCCTTACTCATAGTAGTGAGCACACAGATAACCTTCACATCAGCAGGATGGACAATGCTTACTATTTGCAGTATCCTTGAGAGAGTCAGTCAGAATTTGAATTAACTGAAAAATGTGAACCTTGTTTGCAGACATTTCAGTGAAGTTTATTCCTTCTGCCCTCATAAAAGAAAAAAATGTGGGAGTTTTTTAGCCACCTGTAGTGAATGAATCAGTTTCACATCTTTTTTAATCTGTTTTTGGATCTGAAGACAAACTTTGTTCTCTTGTGTAGGAAAAGATGTTAGACCAGTGCATGACAGGACTAAAGACACTTAAGGTATGTCTGCCAGTGTGCCACTTAGTGTGCCAGTCAGCATATGTTGTGCTGCTCCCTGTGGACGGCCTCCTGAACTGGAAGCAATGTAATTGCATTTTTGCAGTACTGCTGATGAGCTAGTTACGTGATGGCTGGCTAATTAGCACTGCCACTTAACAGTGCTAACTAGTCCACCCACAGGACCCTGCAAATACACCTTTGCTGCTTCCAGCTCAGGCTATTCAGCCTAAGCAGAGCAGCATGGTGTGTCTGAGGGCACCTCTGCTAGGGAAGGTAAGTTTCTCACGTAGACGTCCATACCTTTTAGATTTTTAACCTACCTACTCCAAGACACATTTTCTCCCGTAAATTGTCAATCTTTTAAACCCACTTGCAAACAGCACTCTAGGTGCCTGGAAGTTTATATGTGCATTTTCAGTGACACATGTTTGCAGATTTTGACTTCCTTATTTGTATTACCCAGCAATTTACCACAGGAATAATTTCACCTAAGTCAAGGGCCTAACAATGAGTAATAAATGCACCTGACCCATAATTATTAGGGCCTCACAAAATTGTTCTCCGGCCATTCTGGTAAAAGGCCTCTTATAGCAGACCAAAAGCTAAAACAGATTTTAGAAACTCATGGAGGGTAAAGAGTGGGGTCACATCTGTCTACTCCTCCAGAATTTCTGAGCCTCACTTTTTTCCTTCTCTTCATCTTTTTCTTCAATATCAGTGCTACGAATACCCACTTTTCAGAGCAACAGCTATGCCTATGTCTGTCTTGTACAGTGCTGAGCATACTTTCACAAATAACAGTGCAACAGGTTCATGGCAGCCAAGGGCTGTTGTCTGAATACGGAGTTAATGACAATTCCCACGCAGTAACGAGACAGGCTTCAGCAACAGCTTTATACATGTTTCAGGCATGCCCTGGGAATTAGAGTCAACTCCTCCAGTTGGTTTGAGCCTGGCTGAATTTGACATGTTACTTTATGGAAGGAATTTTGTGCTTACAGACTGTGGGTTTCTCTTGCACAGACACAGGCAGTTCTGGAGAGGGAATTCAGTTGCACCCCTATGGAAATGTTTTTAAATTAAGTATTTCAGGTTTTATTCATCTCTTTGAAGTGGTGAACATAATGGAAACTTGCTTTTCCTTTTTCTACTCAGGCTTATCTTTATCTTCATGTTAAGCCATTTCCTGAACCAATTACAATCTGAATGGACTGTTAGCATCCTGGCAACTGAAGTTAAAACCCTAATCTGGTTGTAGTCATAGTTGACCCAAATATGAAGCACAGCCGTATATTCTGATTGCATTTATCATTACACCTAAATTAGCCTGTATCTTAAAAGTATTCACTACTTTATTTTATGCACTTTTATTTTCAACACCTGTAACTGAAGAAACATACCAAAAAGTGCAGAAGGAATCAACTGAGGTAACGTCAGAGAAATTGGCAATAATTTTTAAGAACTCATGAAGACTGGGTAAGGTACCAGACAACTTGAAAAGTGAAAATACAGTGTCCATTCTTAAGAAAGGGAAGGAGAATCTGGGGAATTATAGACCACTCAGTCTGACCTCAATACAAGGAAGGATTTTGCAGCAGGTCAAGAAGTCTATTTCTAAGCACCTGGAGGAGAACAAGGTGATCAGAAACAGTCAGCATAGATTCATCAAAGTAAGTCATGCCTGACCGACATGATTTCCTTCTATGACAAGGTGACCAGGTATACAGATAGAAAAGCAGTGGATATAATATACGTAACTTTAGCAAGGCTTTTGACACTGTCTCCCACAACATTTTCATAAGTAAGCTAAAGAATTGCAGACTAGATGAAAAATACTGTAAGCTGGATGTGCTCAACAAATAAGTCACTAGTGATTCAGTGTCTAGCTGGGAGGAGTTAATAAGTGAAGTTCCCCAGGGGCCTGTCTTGAGCCCAGTATTAGTATCTTCATTAATGATTTGGATTACAGGATTGAGTCCACACTTAGCAAATTTGCAGAGCTGTAACAAGTTGGTGGCACTCTGGGGGACAGGGCTAGGATCCCGAATGACCTTGACAAACTGGAAAAAGTGGTCTGAAATTAATCAGATGAAATTCAAAAAGGAGAAGTGTCAAGTCCTGCCGTTGGGATGGAACACTTGCATGCACAAATATGTGGAGAAGGACTGGCCAGGCAGCAGTACCACAGCAAAGGTTTTGGGGAGTCACAGTGGTCCATAAGCTGAATATGAATGAACAATGTTCTTTTGTTACAAAATAGTCAATAGCATACTGAGCTTTATTAATCCAAGCATCATTAGCAAATCAAGGGAAGTGATTTTTCCACTCTTTATCACTGGCAAAGCTTCACCTGTGTCCAGTTTTGGGTCCCACACTTCAAGAAAGATGTGGGCAGATTAGAAAAAGTCCAGTTGGGAGTGACAAAAAAGATTAGAGTCCTGTAAAACATGATTTACAAGGGAAAACTAAAGGAACAAGGATTATTTTGTTTGAAGAAGAGAAGTTGGAGGAGGGATATGATACTTGTCTTCAAATATCTAAACGGTGATTATATGGAGAATGGAGATGAAATATTTGCTGCGGCCACAAGGGACAAGACAAGGAGCAATGGTCTTAAATTGCAGCAAGGGAGATTTTTGCTGGATAACAGGGCTGTGCGAAATGGCAGTGTTCCATTTTGACTTGTGTTTCGAGGTTTCGATGGAACAGCATTTTGTTTCGAATTTTGTTTTGATTTGAAACCGCTGTTGCGTTTCATTTCGTTGAAACAGTGACGCTGTTTTGATTCTGTTTTGACGTTTCACCCATAGGCTATAATGGGGAAGCTCGAAACAGCCTCTCTCATCCAGCAGGAGGGCTGTGGGGGCTGCGCCAGTCCTCCTGGGGTTACAGGCCCCCGATCTGCCTGCCAGATGAGGAAGGGAAGCTGGGTGCTGCTGCCTGGGACCAGGTTGCTGGGGAAGGGAACTGAGCCTGATCGCTCAGTTTCCCTTCCCCAGTAGTACGATCGGGCTGGAGAAGGGAACTGAGCCCAGCTGAGCTGAGTTCCCCTCCCCAGCACTACAATCAAGCTGGGGAAGGCAACTTTCCTTTCGATCATAGCACTGGGGAGGGGAACTCAGCTGAGCTGGGCTGAGTTGCCTTCCCCAGCCCAATGTCAGTGCTGGGGAACAATGCAACATATAGCTCACAATATCAATGCAGCAGACCTCTTTTCTGAAACTTGGTAATGTGCATGAACAATGTAATGTCACCACCAATACTGTATACCTTGATTCAGTGATCATTCTGATGAATTCTTGTACTTTTGTGTGGAACAGTGTAGCCATAATACCAGGACTGTGTTCAACCATTTGGTAAAGCTGGAGTCTGGCAGTGATCTTGCATTCTTTAGGATTGCAAGTAAAAGTGATGAATAGGTCTAGTTTACCAAATTTCTGCACCATGGCAGTTTTGCATATTCCTTGAACTGCCAATAAATGTCAACGGTAAAATTACAATGCTTTCTGCTTTTAGACCCTCACATTCTTCTTCTGCTGTGCATCTGCCAACCCCATGTAAGTGTCCACATGGAGTACAGCTTGGTTTTCTCGCACCTTGCAAATTATTTCCCTGTATCCTACAATGCACATCAACAAAGTACTGCTGTGTCTGTTGGCCAGATGAAGGCAATAAGTGGAACTGAGGCCTTCTGGCAATGTGGCTAAACAGAAGCAAAGTAACTTTTGTTACAGTCTTGATGAGTTTTTTTTGGTATTCTAAGCCTACATGAAAGCTGGACTCACCATGAGGAAATAATAGTGGATACACTAACTGATCAACATTTGGTTCTAATACAATATAGTTGTAGTGCAATTGGAAGGATTTGTCAGGCTAGGATTTAATGAATAAACAACATGTTTAGATGATAAAACAGTTGCACAGCAGTGTTCTCTCCAGAGATCACCAGTTGCTCCAAGATTGCTCTGCAACTGTTTTATCATCTGAACATGCATGTTAGCCCTTATTGCACTGTCACCAAAACCAAAAATTGCTGCAACTATCGTTACTCTTACTGGATTATCATGTCATTTATTGGAGGTGCTGTCAGGATTAAAATAAAAAGCAACATTTGTTGGTTCTCTGTTTGACGTAGCTGCGGTGGCATTTTCTTCCTGCTTATCTTTTTGCAGTTTTCTGTAAGCTCTGACATATGGATTACAGATTTCAAGTGTTCCGTTTGCGTCCTGCAATAAATGTAGCTGTAGGCCTTCCTTTCCAGGTCTTGACCTCCTCCCACTGAGTGACTCTTCAGGGTCACTACAAAAAGCTGACTATAACTCAGTCTTGCACTGCCTTGTGGCTATAGTGCTCTGACACTGCAATACACAGTTCCAGGAATTTTTAAGCAGTATGGCCCTGGATTTCTTGGTGTATGTGTTTACTCCAAATAATGCAAACACTATTGCACTGTTGTAGCTTTGGATCTTATTTGAGGTAGTACTTTGTGAGCGCACTCCCTGAGGTAATCAGTTTCTCAAGGAAAGCTGGTGTATGTCAATTTGGCAAATTTCCTCTGCCTCTGTGGCAACAACCTTTGAAGTGGTCACCAATTTTCTTGCTAATAAAATCTTTCGTGCCACAATACTGCCAAACTAACAACATATTACTGATGTCAAATACAGTGACATTCAATGCAGGCTGAAGTGCAGATCTTGGAGCAACTGGTGATCTCTGGAGAGAACATTGTTGTGCAACTGTTTTATCATCTAAACGCACACAAACAGCATCCTCGCATCTTACCAGCTCCCCTGTTTGTCTTCTCCTGTTTGTACAATGTGATTCATTATGTATCAAGCGATTTTCTTTGTTTGCACATTATTCAGCAACAGCTTGCCTGTTTTGCTGACTTTTGCAGTAACCTGTTAACATTGCCATCTGTGTAATGCTGGATGCTCTGCTGGCAGACTTTCTAGTTTTGATTTTCTCTTTTGGTATCTTACAGGTACACGGCAGCAATAAAGATAGTATGTATTTAAATCAGGGGTGTCAAATGGGACTATGGGGCTCCTTGTAAGCCAGATTCAGCTCAGGGCATGGGGTGGCAACAGTAATGGCAGTTCTAGCTCCCCCCCTGCTACACACAGTGGCAGTGGTGGTTCCAGCTCCCACCACATGTTGCATGCCCTGTGCTGGAGCTGGAGGTCCTGCCACTGAAGCACATTGTTTGCTAGGGTGGCAGCTCCAGCTCTGGCACAGAGCACACAGTAGTGATGGCTCTAGTACAGGGCATGGGGGCTAGGACACTGGATGGCAGCAGCGAGGCTAGGCAGCTGTGGAGCTGGAGCCACAGCAGTGGCAATGGATGAAGCAGCTGGAGGGTGACCAGGACAGGGTCAGCCTTTGCTCATCCTCCTGCCACTGGTCACTATATCCTTCAGGGCTCTTGTTTCTGTGGTAGATCACTCTCCCTTGGCTACACCCCTCACCTTGTAGTAGTTTGATAGGCCAGATATAGCAGCTCCATATATGTGACACCCTGGCTTAACTTATTTTAAAAAAAGACATGTCATTACAATTTCTTTGCTTTTTTGTGTTTAAAATGCATGCGCACAAAGTTTGTTCTAAGCAGATGCTGTTAATTTGTCGGGTAAAAATCAGGCAGAGATCTGCTTCACGTAGGGTGGAGACAGAAGTGACAATTTTTGCCTGGTCTGGCTGCAGAAAACAGTTTATAGCTGTGACCAAACACAGGCACACAACTGCAGATAGCTTAACAAATGGCTGATTGGGTGAAAATCTGAACTCTCGTTGCATAAGAGGTCAGATGAAGACGTTTTAAAACACAGCTCTTCTGTAACTTCTGTCTGCACTGCTTGCCAGCCTGTTGCTGTTTTCAGAAGGCAGAAGGGGGGAAGGAAGCAGAGGGAACTCATTCTAGGGGGTACCTTTAAAATGATCTATGATGTGTGGGTAAGCGCAAATACCTTAAAATGTTCTTAAAGCATCTACTTTTTAACCTATTCATGTACAGATACTTTTACTCTTGTACCTTATCCCTAACGTGATGGGGAGGGAGGTTCAAAGCAAATGCCTTTCCTTTTATCTAAGAGCATGCTTGCTGGAAGATGCACTCACCTTGTTCAGATGAAAAGACTCCCAGTATCACACAGAATGAGTGTCTCTTGCAACAACTTGATTTCAAGTGTTGTCTATACTTGTCATAGCTAATAGGGTATCAGAAATGTCATAGGATATTGAAATTTAGCCACATAAAGTGCAGCAGATTGCATTCAGATAACTGAATATTAACAAGGAGAGATACAGCCCAGTTGTAAAACATCAGTTCATTGGATCTCACCCATTGTGATTAAAGTCTAGTGCATTAAAGCAAATATTTACGTGCTTAAATACATAGCAAATGCTTTTTAAAAAACATCTGGCTTTCCTCTTTTTAGTTCGGAGCCAGAATCAGATTTTTATGGTGACTCATCTAATTCTGAAGTTAGTGAAGGAAAGATCTCATTGCCTGAGGCCATATCCTCAACAAACCCCAGAAAGTATGTATCATCAACCAGAAGTTCTGACGAAGAAGAGGAATACCATGAAAAGTCTAAAGTTGCCGATGGTAAGCAAATACACTGTAAATAAACACTCCTAACCCAGTCATGCCCCAGCTACTTAATCCATTAGCTGCAATCACTGTTTCTGAGCATTATCAGAGCAGATAGATCTTGTCAGTATTATCAGGGATACAGTAAGTTCATACACTAGAATGTCATTTTAATTCTTTGGAAGACTTCCCCTTGTCCGCTTTCTGCATCCTGTAATGTGATCCAACAGAGTGCTCTCTCTCCCCTCCTTGTGCCTTGCTTCATTTAAATATGGCCCAGTAGTGTCAAAGTGGAGTCATACTGTCAGGAAAATCAGCATTATTAATTGAACAGTTTCTAGGTATTGTTATACAAACTGTCATGATATGAGGAGTGATGTTATCGACCCTGAGGGCTCTGCTGAAAAAGTAATATGCTAGTACAAGGGGTACCTAAAGCAGTTCTATCCTGTGCTTAACTCATGCTGGGAGATTAATATTTTTCCTGCGATACCATGTTGGGATGTTGATAGTGGGCCTTAAAATACTTGATTCAAGCCCTGGCAATAGAATCAGGCCAGAATTAAACCATTTCTAAACACCAGCAAATAGCAGAAGGGCAAAGAAGCCTCTAAAAAAGCATTGGAAGGAGAATGGTGAGAAGTTCAAACCTCTTCTTCCAAGCCCTTAACATTACCAAGAGCAGCCAGCCAGGAATATATACACTGAGGGACACAGAGTGTGTCTACATGTTGCCATATGGCAACGTTGGTACTGCACCATATTTTAGTACTTGCTTGGGGAAAGTACTAAAACACAGTGCAGTAGCTGCACATATTGTGGCGTACAGGCAGTGCACGGTTAGATTCACTGGTTACGTCACTGTAGCAGCATGCTATAGCCGGGCAGTGCACTGCTACAACAACGTAGTTGGCAATTGCGTGATTGCTACATCACTGTAGGGCAAGGCGTAGGTGCACCCACAGGGTCCTTGGCTGTAATGTTGAGCAAAATATCCAGAAGAGATGAAGCAAGAAAATGATTTAGCGGGTGTTTTATGTGAAGACTGGATCATTTAGGCCTCGGCCACTAACTTGGCATTAAAAAACGGTTTAGTTGCAGTGGCTGGTGGATCAGAATAGACTTGAGATAAGCTAAACTTTTCCAATGGGCTGAGCAAAAAATTGGTAGCAGATAAAGAGGGAATAAGAAAACAATCCTTAAAATAAAAGAGGGAAGAAGAAAACGCAGTAAAAGAGCCACAAAGCAAGACAAGACTGAGACGGAATATGCTAAAGATTCTACTCAAAACTACCAGACACTCTTGACCTGGCCACAGACAACTGTTCAGACTATATATTCACCATAATAAAAGACTTGTCTGGTTATGTCTTTGCTACTATTACTTGGATGTATCACTATTTAATTTGTGTGAACAAGACAAGACTGCATCATAACTGTGGTCATGACCATAGGTGGATCTAGAATCTTGTAAAAAGGTGTGTGGGAGCAGCGACCGGCACTGTAGGGGTGGCTTTACCACAGCTCCCAGCTTCCCACTGCCCACCACAACTAGGCCACTCTGTGGGAACAGAAGCCAGGGACTTTTTATAAGTCCCTGAATCAGGTAAGATCCCTAACTCTTAGTATCCTTTCCCTTCTCTACTGTGCTTTGCAGCATGTCCCTGCCCCTGCCGTTTTATCCATCCCTCCCTCATTTATTGGTGCTGCTGTCTCTGGCTGCCCCAGAGGTGGGAGAGGCTCTAGACTACGCCTGCCCCACTCCAGTTGGGCTGTGCAAGGACCCAGGTTCAGCTGAGAATAAAAGGGGGCAGGGGGTTCCTCCTTGTGCTTGCTCCTGGGCTGGCAGGAAACCCCCAGGGGCACTGGCTGAGGAGGGGGAACTTGTACAGTCTGGCTGGAGTGGAGCAGAAGTGGCTCTGGAGCTCCCCCTGCCCTTAGGGCAGCTAGAGACAGTGGAAACAGCAGGCTGGGGAGGAGGCAAATGAGAGATGCGGGGCATTGCTGTTGAGCATGGCGAGGAAGGGAAGGGGGAATTTTTTTTTTTTTTAAGTCCCCAGCTGCTGCTCACATGGTGTGGTCCAAAAAGGGGGTGGGACTGCACAGCTGCATCAGCTCTGGATCTGCTCCTGTTCATGAAACTGTTCTTATATTAACTTGGTCTGTTGTTTTAATGCAAAGGCAGTCTCCAAACCTTCTCAGAAGAGGATAAAATCTGTTAATGCCCCTGGATTTCAAAATATTTTTTCAACTTAACTGTATATTAAAAATATGTGAATTCATTAAGAACAATAATATCAATGGGATTCTTGACAGAGTATACTGTTAAGTAAGAGCTCTGTGTAGTTCCCAAATAACTGGATTCTTTAGTCTGAGGTGTGCTGTGAGCTTTGGATACCTTTTATGGTTTCTGAGAGGAATATTATGTGGAACTAACACATTTTGTTATTCTCTTATTTGATGTGAATTCTGGCAGTATTTGGTATGACGGCAGTGAACTCGCACGGAGGTAATTTTGTAAAACAACAAACAAGCAAACCCAAAACACAACTGCATTTTGATCTAGATTCAGAAGTAAGAGGATCTTGTGTGCCTTGTTAAGTTGCTTTTTTTAATAATAAAGAGTCCATTGTTTGGTGCAACAAAAATCACAATGCATGTCCAGAAGCATATGACCACAGATTATCCCTATTCCCTGACTCCTTTTAATACAAATCACTGCTTCTAAAGTTATGCTCCTCTCTACCACTTCGCTGCCACCAGGCATCTCTCCATTAGCATCTTATCCCTTATCACTTCATCCTCGATACAAGTTCTTGACTAATATCATCTCCCACCTTCATTTTTGTTCTAAGTCTGTCAGTTCTCTCTCTTTCTTGGTATCCCCCTGGTATCCCTCCTCCTGTGCTTATTCATCTGAGAAGTGGGACTGACACAGACTTAAGTTTACTGTTTTTTGTATATCCCCATGAGAATATCTCTGGATGTTTGATAACCAGTTTTGTTTATGTTTTTAAATAAGCTACTGTTTGGACTGTGAGATTTTTTTTCCTTTGATGTTAAATACACAAGCACATGATCAAGAGAAAAAAAATGACCACATTTTAGAATGAACTGATCAGTAGAAAAGGCCTTCTGAGATGTATACAATTCAGTAAATGTTAACTGTTCCTTCTGAAAGAACACATAAATCAAACGTGGTTTTAAGAAATAAAAATTGGATTTCCCCCCCCCTCCAAAAGACATACTTTAGTTCACGCAGGGATTCATTTGAGGGCATCCTGGGGCTGGTGTTTTTGGTCATAATGGATGACCAAGGTGGTCCCTTCTGGCCTTAGAATCTATGACTCTCTGAATTAGCTTTGTAGGTAGCACTTGTTGATGAGTGTTGCCCTCTAGTGACAAAAAACCCACACTTTTTTCAAGTGTACCTGCCTCCACACCAAATGCTCAGAGCAATAGTCACCAATATGGATTCATGATTTTACATGGCAAAATGCCCGGTGGGAAACCCTGCTGTCCTCATGGGAGAAAACTATTTTCTTCATGGGACAGCATTGGGACACTCTGCCATGGGTCCGTAGTGTGTGTTGCCCAGTAGGAAAAGTCAGAATCCTCATGGAAGAGAGGGAGAAGGGTGGGGTAGTGATAGCAATTGTCCCTCATTTTTAATTTTCACTTAGGTGTATGTCTTGCTAGGCTTTTACTTAATAAAGATAATAGCAAGGAAACAGAACTGGGGTTTGGGTTGCCCTGGGCAAAAATACCCGAGGATCCAGAAAGGAAATGGGAACATGTCTTATGTATTCTCTGTCTGCCTCTTTCATACATTAGCTTCTCTAATGGCAATAATACTGTCTTACAATTTTATACAAAGCTTATTTTAGCCTTGAAAGTATCAGTTTTAGTTAGTTAACAATGTCTCATTCCCCTGTAGCACTACAGAGAGCCAATAGCTTTCATTCCTCTTCATCAAATAAATACCAGAATTGGAGAAGAAAATTGCAATCTAGTAAGTAAAGCCTTAGTATTAATTGCATCTTCCTTTGGTATTGTGGCCTTTTATTCTTACTCTTTCTCTTATTCAAATTCCTGTTTTGTTGCCTCTGACAGTTCCTGCCTCACCATAACAGCTATATATGTTTGAGGTCTCCATAATGAAAGAGGAAATGGAGATTAAAAGAAAAAGAAAAAAACCACTCCCCTCTTGTGTACTTGTTCCTTAATCATGGGTTTTTATTCCGAACATTGTACCTCACATATGATGGACCTCTATAATAACTCATGCTTCAAGGATTGACCATTAAACTTACATATGGCTGGCTTTTGGTCACATAGCAATACTATGTGTAGTCTAAAAGATTATAAGGGAATAAACTGATCGGTGTACAGTCTGATGCTGCCTGGTTATGACTTAAATAAGTCTGTATTTGGTTTGTGTTGCCTCCTTAGTACATTCCCTTACTTGATTCATCTAGAAAATTAGTTATAGGTTTATAAACAACATAGGAAAAAAAGCTCTTTCAATCCATGCTTTAATTGACTTAGCAGAAGGTGTGATGAGACTACGCAGGGTTACTGTCTGCTTCATGCTATTTGAGCCGGTGAGGAATTCTAAATCAAGGGGGTAGAGCCCAACAAAAGCATAGCAGTGCACCTCAGCAGCTCCTCCCTCTTTCCCTCTTCCTTCCCCTTATGCTACTGGCACCCAATCCGGCAAGGTGCTGAGCATCTGACTGTAGAGTCAGGGGCTGAGAGTCTCCAGCTCCCATCCAACTGCCTCTCTCTCAAATCCACTCCCTGTGGAAATTTGCAGTACTTAAGATATCACAGAAGCTCTGCTTTGAGGGCTTAAAAGTTGCATCTGTCACTCACGTGACCCTCAGGACAGGTGACAATGTTCTTTGGGTAAATCTAGTATCTTTTAAAATATTGGATTTACCCAAAGAACCTTGTCTGCCTATGTCCTTAGAACAACATGGCTACAACCTACACCTCAGGACAGGTGAGACTTTCATCTAGGCTTACTTTTGAAGAGTGTAGGATATAAGTGCAAGTCAGGCAAGGATAAGGTTTCCCAGGGATGCATTACTTTCTGTATTATTTGATACCTCATTATTTCAGCTCTTGTTTTTCATGCTTGTTTTCTATGTACTTTGTGAGAGTTGTGCAGTTCCATGGTTGACTTTAATTCCCTTTGATATAGATGAAATTCTAAAATGAATCAGTGCATGCAGTTTGTAGATGAGACCTCAGCTGCATAACTGAGGCTTTGGACAGAGGTAACTTTTTTAACCATTTAAAAAGGGACAGAGGAAGCCACAGCTTGGGAGTGTCCCTCTGCTGATAGGCTATAACTCTTATGTCTACATGATCTGTAGAGATACAAGTTTGCTAAATCAATGTAACTTTAGCCTTGAATGAGAGATTGAAGTTGTAAAGGTCTTGCTACCCTTGTATTGCAACAGCTTATCCTGGCACCCTGTGATATCACTAGGATTGTTTCACCGGTCTATATCCTGTGCAGACTTGCTCATAGCATTGCTAGATGAACATGTTAAGTAACTTGTAATTTTCTAAACAAGGATGTCCCTGCTCTGGGCTTAGGGTTCCAAACGCTCTCTGTGCATCATGTACAGTGCTTAGCTAGATGTCAAGGGCTCCAGGCCTGCCCACACAATCCTTGTTCTATGTTTTATACTTTTGAGCACTACATGCTGAACATGTGCACAGATATAGGTTTCCCAGTTAGATGTGCCCAGATCTCCCTCTTGGTTTTGGGGATGTATGTGGTAGCCATGTTGGTCTGAGACAAAAAGAAATGCAGAAATCAAGAACTCTTGGTTCCAAAATGATACCTTTTATTAGACCAACTGAGAAATGCAAAAATTGGGGCTCCTAAGGAAATGATTTGGAGTCAACCTTAAACCCATCATCCTCTGCAGTCTGACTAGAGAAACATTTGTGCCACAGGCATAGAATCTATTTGGCCTAGAGTTTGATAGCTGTAGGTGTAAGGTATGAATACAGAACAGTGGATAATAGGGATCATAGAACTATTAAATTATAACTATTCACTTTATGATGAGCAAGGGAACAATTTCAGTGCATGGCAATGGCAGAACTTTCTGTCTGATGGTAGTCAAGTCCTTCATGAATGTGGCATTTGTGCCTCCCCTTCCACATAACTAATAAAAGCTAGTCATGAAACAAATATAACCCCCATTTCCCTTCTGGAGTCAATATCCAGGCAAAAGGATGCCTTGCCACATGCTTGGTTTGAGTTTGTAGGCATATTTTTTAACAAATGTTAAAAGCCTTCATAGAAATAATCATCATGAGAGTGACTCTTATACCAGCCAGACTGCAGGGGATCTCTCTACAGATGTGAGTAAAGGACTTTTTTGAATGGAGTCCTAAATAATACAGTTGAAGTCACTGGAAAGTAAACACCCTCATTCATTCCCAAGGATGGAATCTAGTACTCCACATGTGAATGGCTAGCAAATCCCAAAAGAGCACACTGTCAACTATTTCATGGTTGTGACAGGGGAATCCCATCAAACAGGAGGTTAACAGACTACAATGTATTCCAGCCCTCCAGAGAGATGCACATGACAAATGAAGCGCACTGGCTCCCTGGGAGAAATTCAGCAGGGTAACAGTGGAATCATCAATGCAGTGAGAACAGTTGAACCATCAATAACTTTGCAGTTCAAAGACTTTCATCCAGACAGACAACTTCAGCTACCTATCGTAATTAGTAATGTGAAGTTCCATTGTTGTATGGTATTTATAGTTGCAGGAAAGTGGCAGATGTCACTAAGGCAGAGAAAGTCTCAACATACCACACTGACAGGGAAATTTTTCCCATTGCTTGGAAGAATGTATAAACAATAAGTAGGGGTAACGTTTCTATCACTGGAATGAAAGTATTTAAGAAGTCACCATTACAAGCAAGTGAAAGTTTTTGGAGCCTTAGTCCCATATGAACACTTTTCACTTAAATCCTACTTACCTTCAGGCTCGGGACTGTCTTTGAAAATATCCACAAAGCCATTTGGGTTTTAGTCATAAAGTATACCTTTACTTTACTAAAAATTGTAAAAACATGCCTCAGTTCATTTTCAGGTGAAAAAATAATGCTTAATCCAGTTTTAAAAAGTGAAAAAAGAAGCAATATAAAGTGAAAAAAGACCAGCTGGCAGCTCTTAATACTTGCCCATTTTCTGCTTGCTCTCAGTAAGAATTTTACTTGCTTAATTAAATTGTTGCCCATGAATTTTGCTTTCATTTTTAAATAATCCTCCTGTGTGTCTCTGTAGGGAGTCTCTAGAGGGAGCTAAAAGTCTTTGGGAAAGAACTAGTCTGATACATGCATTTGTCAAAATCTCAAGTATGCTGCTGAAATGAGTTTAACATACTGTCAGCATATACTAGGCACAAGATAAAGGCATTTATCCACTCTAGGAAGGACAGAGTTTGGCATCATGTCCGTGTATAATCTATTCAAAATTTGGTTATAAAAAAAATTGCATGATTGCTACACATCTCAGAAAAATACCAGTCTCCCCTTCAGACTTGTTTTCCTGCACATGCACTGCTCTTAAATTGCACTAAATATGTGGTTAAAGAAAGGAAACCAGAGCCTATTTTGAATGTGTTCAAAGACTCAGTGCAGGGTATTATCAAATCCTAGATTCCCAGTTTCTCCACTGTGTGGATTTTCTCGCTTTTAGTTTGTGAGATCTTAATCAGCAAGCTTCATTGTTGAATTCTGAAAATCAAACCAAGATGACTGCCCACTGGGTTAGAGGGAAGGGGAACACAGTAGATTTTATATATCTTGACTTTGGTAGGGCTTTTGACACTGTCCTGCATGGCAGTCTCATAAGCAAGCTAAGGTAATATGTTTTAGATCAGTGTTTCCCAAACTATAGGGTGATCTTCTTCCGGGGTCATAACAGTGTTGTGGGTGGGGGGAGGTACAGGCATGTGAATCACAGCAGCAATCAGCAGCAGTTGCTACTGGTGATTGGAACTGGCAGCAATCACTGGGGGGGAATTTCCAGTGAGGGATGTAATAGTGGCTGAAGTAGGGGGCACAAGTGGACCTGACATGCCTATGGTGTAGCATGAGCCCACCAGGTATGGGAAACACTAGTCTAGATGTAATCACTATCAGGTGGCCAAACAACTAGTTAAGAAATGGCTCGGAAAAAGAAGTCAGCAAATGTCAAACTGGAATACATCTCAAGTGATCTCATGCAGGGATCTGTTCTAGGCCCAATTTTTATTCTGTATTTTTATTAACAGTTTGGATGGTGGAGTAGACAATTCACTGATTTAACAAGCGAATGATGCCAAGCTCTGGGGGAAATAATCAATATCCTGATAATCTTAACAAATGAGAGAGAAATCAGCATGGTGAAATTCAATAAAGATGAATTCAAAAGTGCTACACTTAGGAAGGAGAAATGAAGTACAGAAGTGGAGCAGAGGAACTGCAGAAAAGGATGTGGGGGGGTTAAAAGGTATTACAAACTAAATATAAATCAACAATATAAGGTTGCAACAAAGGCAAATTTCATTCTGGATTGTATTAATGGAGAATCATCTGTAAAATAGGGGAGATAATCATTCTGCCCTTCTTGATGAGGCCTTCAGTTCTGGCCAGCATGCTTAAGAAAGATAGAGACAAACTACACAGACAAGAGGTGGGCAACAAGAAAGATAGGAAGTTTAGAAAACCATGTCCTATGAGGACAGGTGGAAAGAAAAGAGAAGAATGAGGAAGTACATGCGAAGTCTTTCAGTAGGTAAAAGATTGCTATTATGAAGGCAGTGATCAAGGATCCTGCATGGCCACTGGAGGAAGGATAAGAAAATATCAGATTAAATTGAAGCAAAGAAGATTTAAGTTGGATATTAGGGGAAAAATTCAACTTGAAGGATGGCAAAACTCTGAGCAAACTCCTTAGGGTGGTTATAGAATCTCTTTCACTGGAGGTTTTTAAGAGCAGATTGAACAAATGTATGTTGGCAACTGTCTAGGTATGCTTAATCCTGCCTCATTACAGGGAGTTGTAATGGATGATCTCTGGAAGTTCCTTTTACCCATACATTTCTATGATATTATGGGAGAAATATTTTGAGTATGTAAAGGTGCAATTTTAGGGACAGATCCTAATTGTTGTAAATTAGCATACATAGCATATTAACATAGCAAATTAGTCCTGAAGTCAATGAACCTTTGCTGGCTTCTGTATAAACAACAGAAATTTCTCCTACACAGAATGCCATTGACTTCAATGACAGTCTGACTGGGACTAATTTTTCTGTGGAGTATAATACATTTTAGGACCCAAGTACCTTAGGACCTAAACCTGTGACCCTTAATTAGTAGTACAGAAGTCCCAGTGAAGTATTTGGATTCCCTTCAATGTACTGAGCTGTAAAACTCAGACATCCTAATATACCCCCTGCCCCATGTATTTTAAACTTACAGACACACGTATTTTATCCATTTCCAGATTCGTTGACAAACCTAATTCTGTTCTCTGCTGTTTTACTTCTGTGATCTGGGATCACATATTTCAATACACAAATCATGGGTTGCACAGAACAAAAGCCTTTTCCCATTACACATTAAATAAAAGGCCTTTGACAGCTGCTGCTTCTGTCCCCTGCTGTGAGCAACTGGTGGTACCAGGAGCAATGCTCATCCTTTCTGTCACTGAAGGAAAAACCATCCTCTGAATTTGATTGTGAAGGGCCAGAGGGTCTCTGAGAATTAAGGTTGTAGTGACAGCTTCCTTAAGTGCCCCAAGAAACTTGGAAGAAAACTGGGAAAATTCCCCATGGTCATTTCACATCTACCCAACAAAACATTCTTCCTCCAATGTTCAAAGTATTGGAAATGTGATACTCATTTCCCAGAGAATAAATGAGAGTAGCAATGCCAGGCATAGGTGTTTCAGAAACTGAATAATGAATGTCACGAACACAGAACAGCCTGAAATGAATTTAAAATGAAAGGGGAATTAGAAATTACTTATTGTTTTCATCACAATAGTGCCTAGAGACCTCAGTCAGATCAGAGCCCCAGTGGAATATATAAGCACTGCTGGCCAAATCCTATTTTGTGAATTGTACCTATGTGCCAAAAAATGCAGTTCTGTTGCTGAATACGTGTCATTTAGGCACATAAAGTGAAATAGGATTTAACCCTACATGGACGGTAGAAGAAAATCTGACTCGTGGAGGTTATCATTTATTTAAATTTGGTTTGAAGGGTGATATTGTATCAGTTTTGTGGATATTTATAGAGAGCTCCTTTCAAACATGAGAGCACAAAGTTTCTCGGTTGAAAATTTGGCAAGTGGGCAATGGAGACTGAAATCATTGGTGAAATCAGATGCAGAAGTCAACTTCTTGTTTAGTGATAAGAGGTGATGGCTGCAGTGGAGATAAGCTCTGAAGGGTCCTTGAAAGTGAGAATAAGTAGTTTATATTTGCTGCAATAATTGAAATAGAGCACTTCTGGATTTACCTGACCAAGTGCCTACTTTTAGTAAACTATTTTTTTTATTTTTGGTGAAGAATTAGTAGCACTGGGAAGTACAGACTGCAGAGCAAATTTTGGCCAGGAAGAAAGAGATTAATCAGAATTGTAGCATCCTTCCCTCTGGATGAGAAAAGCTGGATGTGTTTTCTTCGAACGTATTTGTGCTGTTCCCTTTTAGGATTTAATAAATCCTGTCAAATTTTTGTGAAATTTCAATTTAGTAACATGACTTTCACCCACTTTTGCTTAAAAGTAACAGTACTTGGACCCAATCTGGCCATTTTTTCTGAATCTGTCTCTCTCATCTGAACTCCATATGCAATAGCTTAGATCATTTTCTTTGTTTCCTGCACTTCTTGTTTATTGTATATCCCTAATTTTGAGACTCTACCATTATATAATATTCTAGCAGCATTCTCTGCAATTAAGATGCCTCCAGGATTTGCATTATGAACCTTTTGTTTTCTAGACTTTATAATTCTGTTATAAAAATACTTTCCTAGCTAAAACTTGGCGGGTAATATCTTAACTTGGGAATATTTTTTTCCTTTTCTTTTTTTGCCAAAGACATGTTTGTTATGCTAGATCCATGCACATGCAAATATTAAAGTATTTAAGCACAACCTGAGGTTTCTATGATAGTTTATTGAATTCATTTTCATACACTTCCTTTTACTAAACCTAAATTTGTCCACCCTTGTTGGTTGAAGGCCTTACATAATTGACTCCCATGAGACAAAGACTTGACTGGGATGATCTAGTTGGTCCTGATTTGAGTGCAGGGCTAGATTACCTCCTGAGGTCCCTTCCAACTCCAATTTTCCATGATTCTATGATTACACAGCAACCCTCCAGTGCTCTACCACCACCTCCAAGATAATAAGAACTGTGGGGTTACTTTTCTCCTTATTGTCCAATCATATATCCCAATGCCTCCTTATTTAAGGCAGAACTTTAAGGCAGACATTTTTTTCCATCTCAGAGCTTTTTCTCCCAAATTTTCAAAAATTGAAGAATGATTTGGAGAGTAGCAGCTTTTAGGGTACCACAAGATGTGGAAAAGAGCTGATTCTTCTGAAAGTATTAAGTATTGGACACTTTAGGATGCTTCAGGCTCCACATCAGAAAACTGAAGCCCAGTTCTGAAGTTATGGACTTGCTCTTAGCATGTGTAGAGTGCAGGCACCTGTACATACCCCAGAACATGTACAAACTAGGCCTGTGCAAGTAGGCAGCTATTTGATCCAGCTTCAGATCTGGCTGCTTCGGATGCCAGTGATCCGATCTGGAGCTCCGGACCGGGTTCCTACTTCAATCTGGCCAAAGCAGCTCCGCAGTTTTGGAGCCGCCTCGGAGATCTGGCCATAGGTTATAATGGGGAATCAATGAAATATCTATAACTTTGTTGTTTTTTGTTTGATTTGGATGAAACTTGCAGGAGTGGTGGCTCCTGCTCAGCTGTCAAGGAGATCGGTGCAGGGTTCTGGGTTCTGGGGCCCTGCACCTTTAGCTGCTGACAGGCAAAATTCATGACATGGGTGCTTGTGCAACTGTGTCTGACTTTGGGCACCGGGGAGGGGGGACCACTGCAGGTCTGGCTGGTAAGCTACTCTGTTACCAGTTACCAGTTAATCATGATTCACTCAAGGACCAGCTCAATACAGGGTACCTAGCTACTACATAATGAGTTAATGAGCATGGATTAACACCTACAAAACCACAGACTAAGTAGAGGAAATAATCAATGCAGACAATCAACTGCCCCAAGACAGACACAGTCAGATGCACAGTCGTGGTCTCAGCAGGGCAAAGCAGGCCTGCAGCTTTCACCCTGCTGTGCATTATCACACACAGTGTCACTCATGTCATGAGTTTTGCTTGTCCGCAGCTTGAGGTGCAGTTTTTCCCAAACCCCTGCACTTATCTCCTTGACAGCTGGCATGCTTTGTGGCCTGAGCAGGAACTACGACCCCTGCAGTTTTCACCCTGCTGCACCTTAACACACACAGGGTCATCTATGTCATGAGTTTTGCTTGTCCGCAGCTTGAGGTGCAGTTTTTCCCAAACCCCTGCACCTATCTTCTTGAAACTTGGCAGGTTTTGTGGCTCCACCAGGGCCTACCATCCCTGCAGTTTTCACCCCTCTGTGGTGTAACACATAGTTGTGACATGAGTTTTGCTTTCAAGAATTTGGGGTTCAGTTCCCCCTGAACCCCTGCACCGATCTTCTTGCAACTTGGTGGATTTTATGCTCTCAGCAGAAGCTAGCACTTCTGTAAATTTCATCCAAATCAGACAAAGAACAACAGAGTTATAAATATTTAATTGATTCCCCACTATACCCTATGGCTGGATTGCCAAAGCTTTTCCGAAGCAGTTCAGAAGCTCCGAACTACTTCGGAAAGCTAAGCGAATCCAGCACTTCGATCCAGACACGCTGCTTCAGATGCCAAAACGTCCAAAGCTTCTCCGGATTTGAAGCACGGTCCGAAGCCTCGCGCAGCCCTAGTACAAACACAGGCTGGGTAGAGAAACCCAATTATATGGGACATAAGATATTTTCTCACATACCACACTCCCTGCCCCACCTTCTCCCCAAGTTAGCCCTGCCCAGTTTGGAGGGCTGCTGATTTTTCTGCCCAGAGTAGAAGCACTCCACTTCAATCCCTGCTGCAAAACTAACTGCCTGACAGCAGCTGTTGCACTGCTGTTCAGACAGCTGAGGAAGTCAATTGATTGGCTTGTAGTACTTCATTCCTCTAGTGTTAATGGTCCTCCCTCCTTTTTCATGGTCTCAATGTTCCACTAATCAAACTAATCTTTCTTCTGGAAATCTTGCTGTCTGTTAGCTACTCCTGGTCTCTCTTCCTTTATTTCACAGCTTTCCAGATTTTTAGCTCTGTCCCTGAACCATGAAGCCATAACTCTGGAAAAATCTTTTTTTCCCTTCATTCTGCCTTTCCAAAAAAACAAAGTGTGTGGCTTGTTTGGTAGCATGTGGTATGTCAGATAGTAGTATATAACCAGTTGACTTCCACTTAGTCTTGTTTTCTAATTGCAGGTTTTATTTAGGATGGAATAGTTGGAGTAAAATGTGGATTTTTTTTGCATTTGTTTGGCAGATTTCCCACTCCTGTATAGCAAGAAACCCGGGCTGCATTCAAAGGAGAACTCAGCCAGTATTCAGTCTGCTCTTGAGGATGATCTCCCCCCAACACAGGTATGAAGGAAGATGCTTGTGGAGTAAAAAATAGATACAAAACAAAGATCTATGTTTGTCCATCCTCTGTGACCCGCATTACTATACTCTTGAAGCACCTCACAAATAATTATATATTTTTTTATCTTCACAGCCCTACTGCAAGGCAGAGACTTATTCCCATTTTACCAGAGGGGAAAAGTGTAGTTTTCCAAAGCTCCCAAGATACTTTGGTCCCTAAATCATAAAGGCCATGCCCTGGGATGTGAACTCTAAGCTATTTTTGTTGCCTAATGTCAGGGTTTGGCATATGTGGAGGGGGAGTGAAGGGTGGGGCTTTTCTTGGGGGCAACCTAGGAAGTGAGTGACTGGCCAGGAAGACTGTGTAGACACGAACAAAGGGCTTAACATTTTGCCTAGATGCCAAACTGTCAGTTTTGCTAGCATTTAAACATTTCTGAGATCCATAAGTCCCACTCAACTTTTGTCTCACTAGATGGGCACCAGGGTCCCACAGTGCCTAAGTTTCTGCTTATGGGTATGCCCAAAGTTAGTAGTATAACAAAGGTGGGAGACCAAGTCACCAGCCGCAGGGGAGGGGCAGTGGGTGCAAAAATAGTAGCGGCTCTGCTGCCGGCTTGGCCACCAGTGGCACAGCCACTGATGCTCGTGAGCCGCTGCTGCCCAGGGCACTCAAGGTTCCAGTTATCTCTGTGTGTAAAGCTCCATAAGTGTTGATGCCACTGAGGTGCTTGGAGCCCTAGCTCATGTCTGTGCCCTCACACATTCAACACAAGGTACTGGCCCACCTATCTGATCCATTAGGCATCCTTAGATCCAGGCTCACACGAAAGAAAGCTGTTGAGAGGTTGAGAGAGAGAATGAATGTGTGCATGTGCATGTACCTGTCTGCCCCATTTTATCTGGGAATCCTCCAGTCACTTATTAGGTGGCAGACCCATTTTTAACTCTGATTCAGAGTATCCACTTCAATCCCAAGAGAAGTCCACAAGCCCCAGACTAAGGCAGTCTCTCTCTCTCTCTTTCTGTGTTTTTTTTTTTTTGTGTAAGCAAGGGTTGACCTGATTTAAGCACCTTACTGCAGAAAGTGTTCACGCTAAAGAATCCTGAGCAGAGATGGGCACCTCTCTCTGTCCCAGAGCGAGGCAGAGTAGGGACTTGAACCCAGGTGCCAAAGGTTCTAACTAGTATCCTAACCGTCTGATTGAATATGATGAAAACTGATTGATCTTAGGGGCTTTGTTATAAGATCTGGAGCCTTCTACATCAATGGCAGTAGTTCATAGCCAGTCCAGGATAATAATGATAGATGACTGGTTCAGTGGTCTGGATAATATTACTGCAGATAGTATTTGACAAGTCTGCATGTTATAAATTCACTGCCAGAACTGTAGGTAAGGCATTCTTGTTACTAGTCTGAGCAGAGAGGACTGAATAGACATGTATTATGTATGGACATTTCTGTGGTATTTATCACTGGTCTATCAAAGGTCCTCACAAGCATCAATTTTAACTATCAGAATCAGGGAATAATTGTATTTGCCACCATTTTATATATAGGAAAATGCAATATAGGGAGGTTAATGACTTGTTCAAGCTCCTATGGAACATCTCGGAGAGAGGTGGGAATAGAAGCTGTATCTCCTTACTTGACTAGTCCTATGCCTTCAGCTCACAGAACTTCCTTCCTCTTCAAAGCATAAAGGATGGAAACTCTTCATCTCTAAAAGAGGACTCTCCCGGTGTAGCCAATAAAGACATCTTGTAGTATCTGTATTTCAAATGAAATGAAGATTTCAGTATCTGGAATTAGAAGTTAAGCACTTACATAAGTTGTAAGTTTGTTTAAAAACATTTAAATCTACCATCCTTTATTTTTCATATATTGCAAGGTTGCTTCAGTTATTCTTGGCTGCACTAATCAAAAAAGTGTAATGTTTCTAATGAAACCAGATATGATGTCTCTGTGTTTGCTATAAAACTTTAACACAGTGCAGCTGAAATAGAGGGGGGAAGTGGGTAGGTCCTCATTTGTTTATATTCCTGTAGTAGGGAATGATCCTTTCCAAGAAAAATATTGAAGGTCAACTTAAAGCAAGGAGGGAAATATAAAGTATATGTAAGGTATATGTAAAGGATTCTGGTATATATAAAAAAGGACACACACTCATTGTAGAAATTAATTTTTAGACAGTTTAGTGTAACAGTTTCCAATGGTATCTCTGTCCTAGATTTTTAAAAATACAGCACAGCGATGAGAGGAAACAAAAGATATACTCTCTTGTAGAATGAGTGTAAGTGAAGTTTGGAAATGAATATACTGATATTTTTTTTAGAATTCTGGTTAATAAATAAAGAATATAATGAGCTATTTTGTTATCATGCAGTTGATGTCTAACAACAAGCCACCTGAAAGTACAAGACATTTCAAACCATACAGCCCAATATTTAAAAGAAAGTCAAAAACCAGAGAAACACCTGAAGAAATCCCGTTATATGTGCTTCATCATCCAGTTCAGAATAGTACTGGAGATTCTTTTTTGAAACATTCAGAAACTGTATCACCAGATGCCAATTTATATAACTATAAATATGAGGATGATAATGCTGAGGAATACAATTTAGAAACCTGGAATGAGAATATCAGGGAACAGGAGTCTTTAGCAGAAAGGGGGGCCTCTAGAAGAAAAATGGTAGATTTGTCCTCTCTGAATTTGGAGGAAAAAGATGAAAAAAATTCAAGACACCCAAAAGAAAAGGCTGAACTAAATGAGATAAAGAAAAGGATAACAAGGAAGTTAATGCTTTCTTCAGAGCAGCAATTCAAATTAAATGTTTCAAGCAACGCAGACCTAAGTGGAACAAAACCATGGTATCAAAGCACCAGAACTCTGGAAATTTCAGAACAGAAGGATGTTGATGACAATGCAAGAGAAAACAGTATTTCTGTGTTTCCTCCATTTGCAAATGAAGCTTTGCCAATTGCGCCAGTTAATGCAAAAGATATTCAGAAGAGTCCAGACAATATTGGAGGAGAACAACTGCCTAGCCAACCAAAATCACCATTGAAACTAATTGCCAGTGCAATAAAGAAATCCATTCTAGAGCCTCTTATCTCTCCTTCAGAAAGCATAAAAAAGAGCTCAGACAGTAAAAGGAAACCTCATTCAGAACATACTTTCTTCAGCTTCCCTAATACTGCCAGTCACTCTGTAAGTCTAAACAATAGCAATAGAGGACATGATATACAGCCACGGGGGTCCAGTGTGCCGAGACATTCAGGAGAAGAGTCTGAAACAAGGAACTCAAGTAAAACCTCATCTAATAGTTTCACTAGTCTTGAAGAGAAGTCTCCATACGGGTACACGGAGGTACACTTTCCTGCTTGCAGTTTGCATACCAGTCCTTCCAAGTCTGAAAAATCATCTTACACCAAGATAGAGGATGTACCAGGACTCCTAGAAAAGTTTACCCTTAAAGAGACTCCTCTGAGATCTTCAGGGGATGACTTACTTACTAGTAAACAAAAGAACCTTTCTGGTTCATCTCTAAGGCTCAAGAACAAAATTTCCAAGGATAACACGGTAGATCCTTCACAGAGGAATGATATCAGGACATTCTTTACTAACTTTAGAACTAAAGTCACTGAAAGAGAAAAAAAGGATCCATCAAAATCCTCTGTGACCATTAACAGATTTTTCCCTGAAGAAGTGCTAAGTAACCCTTCTGCAGGTGAGAACTTGGGGGAAATGGGATTGGTTTTAAATGTTATAACTGAAAGCCATTTCTTTACCTCCATTTTTACTCTGATTACTTAAAGTCAATTAATCTATAGTTCATTTAATCAAGTATTTACATTACAGCATATGCAAGTGAAGGACATTTTTAAAAAGGTACGTTAGGACTGAAAATCCTGGTTAATGCCTGGAAGCTGATCCAGGCAATCCAGAGGTCACAATGGGCAGCAATTGCCTTTCCAGGCACATTTCCCATAGGTGCTCAGACAGGACCGTGATAACCACCACATCAATACTGAGGTAGAAAGGTAGAAGGTGGGGGACAGGACATTTCACAGGGGCTAACTCAGGAGTGGTGGTTGCCATGATATCAAATGTGCTGAAGGCAGAGGAGTAAAGCAGACAATGATGGAGATCCAAGGCTATAAACAGACCTTGCCAAATTAAACAGATCAGCTCTGTCAGGATGGGCACAGCAGAACTACTTCATTGGGCAAAACACAAGTAGCCTGTTGTCCCAGCAACTGACCCTTCAGGATGAGCAGTGTGTTTTCCTGGGACTACAGGGGCCCAGTCCTTCATGCCCTGGGAATTCCTGTGCAGGATCAGGTCCTCAAACCCTGGGAGCACCTGCCTGGCTTTCCACTCTATATCAAGGAGGACTACACGTCCTCGCTAATTA